GGGAGAACCAAATCAAGCAGGAGAAACCATGAAGAGGCTGTCTGAGATGGAGTTTGCCTTGAATAATGCAACTAATCAGGTTAAAGGCACTAACTCCACAATTCAGAAGCTTGAAGTGGAGCTTTCTATGCTGAAGATGGAGATGGAGGTTGCTAAATTGCAGGCTACAGCATCAGCTGCAAGTTGTCGAGAAGCATTGGAGAGAGAACAGAAGGCTCTTAAGGATTTTAAATCATGGAATGGACAGAGGAGCTTGCATCAGAGAAGCGGAAGGCAGCAGAGCTGCAAAGTAGGCAAGGTTAAAAATATCTACAACCAAACTTAGGTATGATTCTCCTTGAAGAAATACTCATTGACTTGTACTCTTGTTAAATAAGCCTTAATCAACATATAGTTTTGCCTTGTTAAATCAGTATATGGCTCTTTGTCTTAACTAAACAGATTGGGAAGGTTCTAGAATTGTAAGACCGAGGAGAAGACAGATTACAGAATAAAATGCCACTAAGAGAACACAATAAAGTATAAAACTTTTAAGAGACCATAAGAATTGCATAAATGTGTTGGACTAACTACCAATATTTACTCTTCTTTGCAAATCACCATGAAATTAGTCAAAGGGATGGCACAACTGTGCAAATACCCTGCTAGGTTTTCTATCCTCCGGCTCTATAAGCCATTAAGACAATTATCAACAATATTATGCTAAACAGCAGATTGGAGTTCGTAATTAAACAATCAGATACTATCAATGCTCAAATCTTATTCTTGGCAACTTCTCGTCCTAAATTTTCCATTTTCATGTATGGAAAGATGCATGAAGGTGCACGGAGAAGTGCATTTAGCTGTTTATGCCTTTAAATAGATTAATTCTATTTAACTTGTGTTTTATCATGAGAAACGATGAAAAGTTGCAGATGACATGGAAATATGAGAAGATGACAAAGGTGAAATTCCTTAAGCAGGCTGCCTCCATAAGGAAGGAGAGAGAACGTCTTGGAGCTGTCGCCAAAGTGGAGGAGGATAAGATTAAACTAAAAGCAAGAAAAGATATGAAGAAATATGGGAAGGAGATTAAAAAGCTCAAGAACAAGTTACCTGAGTTGAATATGAAGCTGGGTCACTGATTCTAAGTTTATGGCCAGTGTTCTTCTGTTAACGACGGGAATCAGATTCCAAGTTTCTCTAAAAGGGTGGTTGACATCAAAGATTATTCTGGGAGCAGAGTTTCGAAACGGAAGCATAAGTGCATCATGTTCTTATCAGAAGAGAAGATAGTGGTATGCCTTCCATGTGCTCATCAGGTCCTATGTGTTAAATGCAATGAGCTCCACCAGCAACAACTGATGAAGGATTGCCCTGCTTGTAGGACCCTGATTGTTTGCCGCATTTGTGCATGTTTTGCTAACCCATAGGTTATAGCTCTCTGAACCATTTTGCTAGACCAAGACCAGTAGTAAGAACAGTGACTTAATGGAGGAGACGTGAAAAGGAGCACTGTGGAAATCCCGTTCAAACTTATTGTACCTTTTGTTTTATTTTTGCTTATTTTGAATGGTTTATACTAGTAGTTCAAAAGTATGAAAAAGATTAAAGGGAAAGTTTATAGCTCACAGACATCTTGTATAGTTAGTTCTTTACCATATAATGATATAATATGTAGTTTAGCTTGACATTACACCTTCAACTGTTCTTTAATTTTTGACCTCTAAGGCTTGAACATGATCGATTCCTTTGAGAAGACTCTCTTCAGGTGAGATATAGAACTCAATTGATCAATATTCGTAAGAAATTCAATTTACGTCTTCCAGATAACTTTGACAAACAACCAAGCAAACTTGCACGTTGGCATGTCATACCTTATGGTTGATGTTTCCATGAAATCGTATTTCTTATAGCTTCATGCTTTGTACTCGTATTTATATCGAAGAAAAGTTTACTAGAAGGGTTACTAGTTAACATAACGTGTCATCTTGAAACTGGTTAAAACTACCATTCTATGGTTTAAATTTTAATTGAAGGATAGAGAAATGAAGGGAAATGGAAAAGGGGGCAGCTTACAAGGTTTAATATCTGACGCCAGTCAACACAAATAATCATGCAAAATTCAAATTTCTTATCACAAGTGAAGTGATGAACTATGGATAAAAAGTGAAATAGACGACTGAAGGCAACAAGTCGATATGTCCGAGTGGTTAAGGAGACAGACTTGAAATCTGTTGGGCACCGCCCGCGCAGGTTCGAACCTTGCTGTCGACGATATTCGTTTTATAATTTTTCCCAGCTCACAGCTTTTTTTTTTTTTTTTTTTTTTTTCGTACAATCTTTTTTTCCCGTCCTGTGAATTGGTGTCACTGAGCACTATAGCTTATTACCCATACATTATTCTTTGACATTGCCAAGCTGTGGATGCGCTATCCTGTTTCTGCTACTGCCCTTGTTGGCTTTGTCTTTCCCATGGATTACTACCGTTCTGCCACTACCTGCCTCTGTTGGGATTCTTTTTCTTTTTTTTTTTTTTTTGGTTACTTTCTAACTTTCCATGACTGACATAAATCTTTTCTGTTCTTTTCTGGTGTCATATCCCCATCTCAACAATGTGCTAGAAGTAAAAGTCGTGCCTTACATTTTTTCCAAATTCAAAGTGTGCTAGCTCCACAATACATTAAATTACTCCAACTACTATAACTTTATCATCAAGTTAAGCAATAGCCAATCGTTTTTTATCTTCGTAGTTTGTAATGAAAAGGGAATTTCGTACACGTTGCTCATGAAAAAATTAAATCAGTTAGGTAAAGCAGAAACAAGCCCCCAAAGAAGTACAATTCTTTATTGATCATCTAGTTCAAGATAACTAACAGAATATGTAAATATATATATATATGAATATGTATGTACTAAGGTCTTCTAGTGAATTTTTTATTTTATTATCATCTTAACTCATGGATATTAAAGAGAATATATTTTCTGATTGCAAAGGAAAGGATATAGTGTTAAAAAAAAAACCCATTCTTAGGCTTCTAGACAGTTTGGTACCAACCACAGTGATTGCCAATACCTACCATTCCTTAAACTGACATGTCAGAAAGGTAATGCAGAGGTCTTAAGACTCCAAACTAACTTATATTGCAAAGATACAATGAAGTTGGGTTTTTCTGCTTCTGAAATCTCTGAATCCCTTTAACTATTGATGTGAGTTTGTGGGGATCGAAGATAAAAGGGAAGATTGCCAAAACTTGTGTATGTTTTTGGTCCCAGTACTGGCGTCAAGTGATTCTGGCAAGTTGTAGTGATTAACAAACAGCCTGTAAGGGTTGTTCTCTTTGATTTCTGTTGATTTCTTGATCCTTATAGCCCACACACTAACTGAACATCAGATGTCACGAGCAGAACATGTGATTATTCCAGCTGCATGCAACATAAAAGTTCTAAGATTGGTTATTGGTTATGCTCGTTAATGTTGCAGCACTAATCATGTAGAGTACTTCAACTACAACTTTCTCCACAGGATATGATGCCCAACTGAACTAATAAATAAATGTAAACACTTTCCATAAGATTTTTTTTTTTTTTGGTACTTAAAATGTTTAGGTGAGAGGCTACCCCATTCAAAGACGAAGACATATCAATATCTCAGATCATTTACATTTGATTTACAAATCACTTGACGAGAATCGAACCTAAATCTTAAAAATGAAATATCCTTTACCAATTTAACTAACCCTAAACCCAAAATAAGGATAGTATCCTAACTACGGTAGTAAAATCTCACCTTTTTTTTTGTCTGTATATCAAATTTTGTTCCGAGTTTTTTATGCTATTGTATGATAAATACATGTTATGGATAAATAGGAAGGAAAATTTTTTAGAGGAAAGTTAGGGAGAGATAAGTGGAACGAAGAATTGCTGTCAGATAAGGTAATTTAAACTTAACAAAAATCATGAGGATGAGAACAAATGAATCTATTATATCTATATTAATTGATAAATTTTTCCCCTCAAATCATTTATGATCACTTTGTTTTATTTACAAATACAATCACCTCCCGGGTAATCTGATGCAGCTTTCTTTCCCTTCAAATCAACAAATATAAAAGTATAACGCAATTTATTTTTTAATTATTATGTGTTCATGTAAGCAGTAAAAAAAATGTGTTCATGTGAGTGATGACTTAAGAAAACTGTCATGATCAATTACGCCAAGATCAGGTCCTTGATAAGCTCAACTTCCAAAGTTTCACACAAACAAAATAGAATCTGCATTTTTTCCCAGGGAAAAATAAAAACTGAATAACCATTGAATCAAATGTTAAAATTTTCTAACTCTTCGAAAAAGTACATATGTAAAGGTGTATCTTTTACGTTGCCATGGCCAATGCGGAATATGATATGATAGTTTCAGTTTGGGGACTCCAAAACAACTCCTATATAAACTAGTTAACTATCTGTCCATCTCCACTCTACACCAGCAAGTTGACTTGTTAAGATACGTATCTGTGTTACTTCTCTGATATAATTAATTTACTAGTTGATTAAACTATAATGTTTTAAAACTGTAATGGGTCAAGGCTACCATCAGAGTAAGACAACAAAATTTGCTTGCAAGCTAAACGGTGATTATGTAATATGTTGGTAGAGTACTCGAGTCGTACTTATAACGATAAGTGTTCAAATTTTGATGGTTTTAAATATTAAAAAAAAGTTGTAAAGAATCTTCCAACAGCCATAAGCAAAGAAGCTTTGTGAGGCCAGCAGGCTGAGGGAGAGGCTGTCAATGTTTTCAAAGAATCGAATTGCTTTCCTAAGAACAAAGTCATAAACTCGTGCATTTGGAATCTTTTCTTCATACAGCAGATCCCAACTAGACCCACATATTAACTCTTCTTTAAATAAAACCATTCTCCAACTAACTCTCAAAACTCTATTTATTTTTTTATAACCATACTTATAGTGGATGCCATTTTGTGACGTCTGGGTCACAATTTTTTTTAATTGTTTTATATATGTGTGATGCAGGCCATGCAGGAAGTCTCGATGAAGACCGCGTATGAAGCTAACATTGCTAGCTAAAATATCAGTTTTTTCAGGCTTCATCCTGCAAAATATATTAAAGGTTAGTTAAATTTCAATTTACAATTTTAAACAGCAATCTTTGGAAGAGCAGGAGAAGAGATTGAGCACCGAAAGATTGATGGTTTGGGGACATTTAATATTAATAATTGAAGTTTTCTGTTATAAGTTTAAAATAATAACCTTTTATGAAGAAAGAAATATGTTATTTTCAGACAGAGATCTGATATTTATAGTCCAAGATATTATGGCTATTAACTATGATTTATGACTATCTTAAATGTAGAAGATAGTTCCAAGATTAAAAAATCATTAGAAAACATAATTTGAGCTTTGTAATATGAAAACATTGAAATTCCAAGCTAAAAGACTCTAGATTTTGGAATTTTTTTTTATAAAAAAACAACCTTCTATTATATTGTTTGTATATAATATAAAATGAAAAAACAAAAGTTATGCTTAAGCTATTTTCCCCTTTACTTCGATTTCCTGATAATTACAAGAAGTTTTCATTCTACCAGTGGAGTTGTTGTGTCTTTTTATTTTATTAATTTCCACAAATTTTTTAAAAAAAATTTTTTAGCTAATTTTTCATTAAATTGTGTTTAAAAAATTGTGCTGAATTTTTTTTTTTTTAATATACAAAAACTCTAAACTACTATTAAAAACCCACACAATTTGCATTTCCAGCAGTTGGCAACTTGATTTGGCATTGTCTCCGTGTCTTTCCCTGTCTCTAACCTTAAAGTCACATTCAACCCTTGTTTTGCCGCAAGTGTCACCAAACCTCTTCCAATGAGACTGCTTTCTCACTTCAATCTCTAACTGAAACAAAAATATTGGTCATTTAAACCAATCTTTGCCATCTTTTTTCATATCAAGAAACAGAACAGAATAGAGTTCTAATTCTAGGAAACAACTCTGCTACTCTTTCTCACTATTTTTTTCTCATGCAACAACCAAAAGCGACCCATTTTGTTCAAGACCAACATCTCCACTATGCTCAAAGTCCTTAAGAAAATCAAGCGCCTTTGTGGCCGCCTCCAGTGGCCGCCTCGCCGCCGTTCCAAGTCCAAAATTGTCATAAAAAAGTTTGGCAAATCAAACTCCGAGGCTCATATTGATACTAAAGATCATACTATCGTCAATGGGACTTCAAAAGTTCACCAAGATGGTCAATTGGGTAGTCTGAATTCAGTGAGGCCCATACGTATAGCGACTTTTAATGCTGCCCTGTTTTCTATGGCTCCTGCAATGCCTAAAGCAGATAAGTTTTCAAGTTTTGGCTATGACAGTGAAGCCTTTACAGATGTTAGGCGCTCCATGGATCTTAGTTTACGCACAAAGTCTACAAATGATCGGCCAAAGAGTATACTAAAGCAATCTCCCCTGCATCCAAATTCCATGAATGACAAGGAGAATCTCTCCAAGCAGCAAAAATTTGTGAAATCTAAGTTGAGGGTGTCCATCAATTTACCAGATAATGAGATTTCTTTATTGCGCAATCGACAACTGAGCTCTGAAGAGCAAGAAAATGAGGGTTCTTCAAGTGCTGCTGTGAGTAGAACTTTGAAAGGAAAAGCTCCGTTGAGATCAACAGTGAGTTTTCCAACAAATATGAGAAATGTAGCTGATTGTTTTGAGAGTTATAGAAGCAGAAAGACAGTGCTTGAAGTCTTGAGAGAATTAGATGCTGATATATTAGCTCTGCAAGATGTGAAAGCAGAGGAAGAGAAAGCCATGAAGCCTTTGTCTGATTTAGCTGCTGCTTTGGGGATGAACTATGTATTTGCTGAGAGTTGGGCACCGGAATACGGCAACGCCGTGCTTTCCAAGTGGCCGATTAAGCGGTGGAAAGTGCAGAAGATCTTTGATGACACAGATTTTAGGTAAGTTTTTCTTTTTCATTTTCAATTTGTTAAAACTTTGAATTTTGATTGGTCCTTAGTTTTTTATGTTTTTTCTCCATTATGAACAATATTAAGGAATTGTCATTCTAGCTTTAACTAAACAAATGAAAGTAGTCTTTTTTTATAGAAATTTTCAAGTCAATATTCCAGTTTTATGATCTTAAGATTCTAAACCTTTGCAAAACAGAATTTAGAACCTTATTGTTGTTTGCTATTGAAAAAGTCAACAATTATCTGTTACTTTTAACACAGAATATTCTCATTTTTATTAGAAAGTTGCGTGAAGCTTTCCACAAAATACTTTGTAATCCCCAACTATTACTTATAGGTTATTATTTTCTTAATTATTCTGTCCACCACTATCATCTAAATCCTTTTAGCCCCAAATGACTAACAAATTTTATTTAATCTGTGGATTTGCCTAACCATATCGTAACAACAGTCCACATTAGACAATGTTCTGTCATAACAGCTGCAGGCAGTAGACAGAACAAGAACTTGCAGCCATTTCTTGAATTTAATACATTATTGTACAATTTCTGGTTTTCAGCTCACAAGAAAGATGTTTATACCCATTCAACATAATGTATTTGTTTCTAATTTTCTTAATGCAGCAAAAAAAAAGGGTTCTCAAATTATAAGAAATTTACCAAATTCTTTTGTTGTTCCAGCCTATTTTTCTCTTTCCAAAATTGTTTAGACTTTCTTCTTCTCATATGGGATAAGCTATCCTCTTAAGAAGTTTTATCATTCCAAGTAATACTACATCTTGCTTGAGTATGAACAATCTGGTGCACTAGTTGGAGCAGTAGTCCTTATGGGTGTAGTTAGAGAAGAATAATGCATTTGACCAAACACAGTTTTTGGCTGTGTTTGTCTTGTGGGAAATTTATCAAATTATGGCAAAGATCAATAGTTAGTGATAGCTGTTAGTATTACTTAAAGTGGAGAAGATATATTGCTATACACTTTTCAACTTTATTTTTTGTTTGTTTCAGTGGAAAACAAAATCATGATCTGAAAGTATATCAATTGAAGTTAGGTAAGATATATGCTGTTATATCTGCAATATGGGTAGGCTTTGTTGATAAATCATTAACATGACTGAGAAGAATTAATGAAGATCACAGATTTGTCCATGTTTCTTGAAAAAGCAGCAATGTGAGGAGATAAAACACAATGGAAGGAAACTCCTCTTAATGTATAAAGTTCGTGATTGAGATCAAATGGTAATATGTATTACTACTAACTAAATAGTTGCAATCAGGTTAGTTGACTTGCCATAAAATTTCTTTTCTGATAACCATGAACACAGCCTTGGTAGTTAGTACAAAACTTAGAATTTCCTTTTGTTAACAGTTAGAACAGACGGATAGCTTCGGAACTTAAAAACTTATGCTGACTCTCTTGGGCTTTTTGACGACAGGAATGTCCTCAAGGCAACTATTGAAGTGCCCCAGACAGGAGAAGTCAACTTCCACTGCACTCACCTTGATCATCTTGATGAGAACTGGCGCATGAAGCAGATAAATGCAATAATTCAATCTAATGATGGTCCACATATCTTAGCTGGAGGGCTCAATTCCTTGGAAGAAACAGATTACTCCACAGAGAGGTGGACAGACATTATTAAGGTATATATGGGGACCTTTTCCCTGAATGTATTCTGTCATACAGGATTTTAAAGTAACATCTTTTAAATGAACTTGTATCATATAGTACTATGAAGAGATGGGGAAACCAATACCAAAGGTTGAAGTGATGAAATTTCTGAAGAATAGACAATACACAGATGCTAAGGACTTTGCAGGGGAATGTGAGCCCGTAGTCGTGATTGCCAAAGGCCAAAGTACAAAACCATTCTCTTTGATTTTTTTTTTTTGGCCTAACCGTTTACAGTTAATTGGTTAATCCAACCAATGACATGACCTGAAAAATCCTTTGATTGAATGCAGGTGTGCAGGGCACATGCAAGTATGGGACTCGGGTAGACTACATACTGGCATCCCCAAATTCACCATACAAGTTTGTTCCAGGGTCGTATTCCGTCCTGTCTTCAAAAGGGACTTCCGATCATCACATAGTTAAAGTTGATATAATAAAAGTAAATGATAATGTTCAAGGAAATGTCAGTAGAAAGCGATGGCAACCAAAACAGAAACAGAAACTCATAAAGATTACGAACGGTTCTCCATCAAAAAGTATATGGAAAACACTTACATGAGAGATTTGACTTTTTTATTTTTATCTTTTATTATTACCCAATACTAAATCTAGGGAACAGATGGTTTTGGATCTGCAACCTATTATGCTTTGTAAATCATTGACGGCTTAAATAGAAACAAGGGGATGATATTTGGTGTGGAATTTATTTGTATAGTTCTTGAAGGAAAACTGAAACAGCTTAAAGAGTATATATTTTTCTTTTGTATGCGTATCTTTTGTTACTGAACTATTACTATTTGTGCTTGTATACCTGGTAACCAGATGCTTTTGACATGATGAATTAAAATGATACTCCTCACAAACTTATTTGGTTAAGTAAAGCTGGATTTAATGGATATATGAGAACCATTGAACTGACAGTGCTATAAGACTCCAATAGGTAGTCATTTAAGGGGCAACTGCCTGCACTAATCATTGAAACTTGATGAATCTCACATGGTGGTGGCTTGTAATAAATAGAGTTAGAGCATGAAAGCTATACACTTGAGCAAATTCGACTGACCTTAAATTTTTTATTTTTTTTTATAAAGTCATTTGTTGCAATTCTAAGACATGACAGTGATAACCAATTTATCTAATTATTAAATTAGTAAATCGTTAGAAGAAGATAATTTCATTTCTAGACTTACTCCATTTTTAAAATTGTCTCACTGGCCACATCTTAAGCATTTCACAATGCTGATGCTTATAAAGATAGTTGCTATTTACCGCCTACTCACGGTTGATGATTCTTCATCTTATGGGCCTCATTGCACATGGCTACTTCGCTTCAATATGGGCCTCTATTAGCTCGCTAGCCCAAGATCAGCTAGCTGCATTTGTCCTTATTTTATTTTTTATCAAGCTCAACTATTAGGTTTAGGCTTAACCAATAGCCGACGTTTTTTAAGAATAGCCGACCTTGTTAAATCTAATACCATTTTTGAATGGGAAATACCAGGGGCAGTTCCACCGTTTATCAAAATCGGCTACCAGCTGTTACCAGTTTCCTAGCTTCGTACATGTAAATAAAATGAGCAATGACAGATATCCTCTTTTCTTATCTCATTCCTTCTCCTAATTCATTTTAATTTTCCAAATAAAAGAATAAAAATATTTTTTCTTTTCATTAAACCGACGTTGAGTCAAAAAGTCAAAAGAAAAAACGTTGAAAATTTGCTTTTAAAACGGTACGCGTATCTCTCCCGCTATCCTCCGCCATCGCTAAGTTGTCCAGTAGGCGATCACTTTAAGATGACAGACGAGGCGTTGTTGAAGCAACTAGAGGAATCAACGAAGGACATCGCGCGTCAGCAGGCCGAGACTCTCCATTCCATCCTCCAACACCAGCGCCGCGTTCGTTATCTCCAACGCTACCTCCCCGACGTCCAAGATCAGAATGCACCCATTCACGCCGCCACTTTTAAACACTTCGTGCCGTTATCTTGCTACGATGATTACGCTGATTACATCAGTCAATTAGCCAACGGAGACTGCACTGACGATCATGATCATCACCACCTCTTGTCCGTTGACCCTCTCCTTTGCTTCTTTTATAGGTAAATACACTTTATTTACTTCTTTTTCAAGTTAATAAAAATTTCAATAAATTTGATTTTTTATTTTTTTGAATAGTTCTGGAACAAGTTCAATGAAGCCTAAATTGATACCTTACTTTGACTCTGCGCTTTCAAAAGCGGCGTCGTATATAGCTCATCAAGGAAGTGCCGCTGTTCTTCGAAGGTAAAAATTGTTTTTTTTTTTTTTTAGTAATTTGTTTAGCTAAGTGAAAACAAATGATCTTTACATAAATTCAATTTCTTTTTAGATTTTGGATTTCAAAAAAGTGAAAAGGAGAAATTATAACTTATAATTGTAGTTTTCTTTTCAATTCAAAGACATTATTTTAATGTGATGATTTTTTATTTTTTTTTTCAATTGTTTAGGTTTTTTCCTCCAAAGCCTGAAATAAATAGAAGACTGGCATTTATATATGCCGATAGCATTACAACTACAAAAGGCGGTTTCAAGGTAATGGCTGCCTCTTCATTCCCTTTGCAGAGTAGTAATAGCAATGTGAATCGCTCTATATTTATGTCTCTCACTAGCCCCAAGGAAGTGATTCTGGGATCAAATGTTGAGCACCAAATATACTGCCACCTTCTTTGTGGTCTTAGGATTTCTGATTCTGTGGATGCTATTCATGCTCCATATGCAATAGGTTTGATTAAGGCTTTCCATGTTTTGGAATCCAAGTGGGAGCAACTATGTGAGGATATTGAAAAAGGGTTTCCATGTTTGGACATTAACGATATTCCAATGAGAGATTCTGTTGTTGAGGTTCTTGGTGGGCCACAACCAGATTTGTCTAATAGAATTCGGTTGATTTGTGAAGAGAAGAATTGGGGTGGGATTTTGCATAAATTATGGCCTAACGTTCGATATATTAGATGTGTTACAACTGGAAGTATGAAGCAGTACTATTCCAAACTTAAGTACTATGCAGGAGAGGTAACTCTGCTTGGTGGGGATTACTTTGCATCAGAGTGCTGTGTGGCAATTAACTTGGATATCAAGCAACCACCAGATCTGACAAGATTTGTTATGCTTCCAACTGCTGCATATTTTGAGTTTCTTCCATTTGATTCAACTCAGAACAAGGTTGTTGGTGAAGAAACTGTGGATATTTGTGGTGTTGAGGTAGGGAAGATGTATGAAGTGGTTGTGACTACTTATAGAGGGTTTTATAGATATCGTCTAGGTGATATTGTAAGAGTTGTTGACTTCTATAATTCATCTCCATTGCTGGCATTTGTGATGCGAGCTCCTAAAACTTCATATGACATAGTGACTGAGGCAGATTTGATGGCTGCTATGGAAAGTCTTCAACTTGTATTGAGAAATATCATAGGCATGACAATAGAGATTGTGGAGTTTACGAGTTTCTTTGACTCTGATTTGAGTCCTAAGAGGCTGAAGATTTTTGTTGAAGTAAAAAACTGTGATATGTTGTTACAGGATAAGTTGCAGGAGTCAATTGTACTCCTTAGAAAGTGTTGTTCTACTCTCGAAGACAGTTTGGGAAGTTTTTATAAGGTGCAGAGGAATAAAGGCGAGGTAGACCATTTGTCACTATCCATTTTGAAATGTGGTAGCTTTGACAGGTTACTACAAGTAGCAATCGAGAATGGAGCTCCAGCTAGTCAGTATAAGCCAGCTAAGATTATAAGAAACCATGACATTGTCGATGTTATGGAAGGATATGTTCTTGTGACTATAAGCTTAGAATCTCTATGTGCTTAATAGCTTGCTGCTCTTTGGTTCTTAATGGAATAACTAGAATGTTGGATCTTCAATAGAGTTATCTATATGCTTTGAAGAGCATAGATTTGTCTCAATTTGTCAGTTCCTAAATATTTATGAGCATTGAAATGTCATACAAGCAAACTGGAATTCATGTAATCTATTACTATTATATCCATTATTTATTCTCTCATTAATTATTTTGTCCACAAAATGTAGAAAGCAAAAGATGCCCATCTTTTTCCCTAAAGTAGTAAGTAAGCTGTTGTTAACCTAAGTAAATTAATTCTTGTAATTTTGACTTTTTGCCAATAAGCTTGTTAGATTGTTTTGACTGGTTGCATGTAACAAGTTATAAAATTTACAAACTTCCCTGTAATAGATTTTGGTGAAAGTACTTGGCAGAACGATTCTTGTTTCTACCTTCTTTAATAGTCGAATCACTGATACTGCCATTCTTTTTCTGTTTATTGTATATTGTGAGATTCTAAAACATCCCCCCTTCGCACCTAAATGATGAGAAATTTCATTTGCTGTTGCTACTGATCTCTATTTTCTTACTTCTTTGATTGTACCTCTACTAGACAGAAATGTATACACTTATAGGTTGTATTTGTTTCACCATTAAGTTACAGGAAAAAGATCATGTCATAGTAATTTAGCATTTCCAGCAAGTTTGATAGACCCTAAAAAACTATCATTTTGAAAGGAAGTGGTTCACTAGTTTTGGATAAGTGGTTTTTCTAGAAATTTGATTCTCCTACATTAGTACAGATCTGATTCTCCTACATTAGTGCAGCTTGATTTTCTAATTTATTTTGGGAATATTTCTCATTTACTCTTGTAATTTAGTCAACTATTCTAATTGTCAAGTTTTTAGGGATTTGTTTCTATTTTAGAATAGTATAATTCTCCTTCCTTATTTTATTTTTTGTTTTCTATTTCATGTAGTTTTTTCCTAACAAGGAACTTCACTGTTCCTATTTATTTATATGCACTCCTTCATTGTAGATTGAATAAGAAGAAATAAGGACAATTGTTCTTTAAGTTTTCTACATGGTGTCAGAGCAAGTCGGCCTGAATCATTAGACTGTAACCACACGAGTTTCCGTTATGGCTAGCAGGAGTGAGAACTCTTCTTCTGCAAAGGTATGGCATGAGAAAAGTCACAAAGAGGTGATGCTCTAACAAACCATTCAAAACAAGTGTGCAACCTTTGGAACTAGTTTACTAGCACAAAAAGGTAATTTCCTAAATGCCTTAAGTGTTCAATGGGAAAATACACAATCTTGGATTGTTGATTCATAAGCATGAGATCACATGACTGGAGATGCATCCTTATTCAACACATATAGACCTTGCTATAATAGTTCTGCTGTAAAAATTGCTGATGGCTCTCTCTCAAAGGTGGCAAGAACAAGTTCTATTGTAGTTTCGAAAGACATAACACTCGACTTTATCTTTCATGTCCCTAATTTAAGCTGTAACTTACTTTCTATCAGTAAGCTTACGAAGAATAAATGTTGTATCACTAAATTTTTTTTCAACTTGTGTGAATTTTAGGAATTGAGCTCGGGGAAGATTATTGGCAGTACTAAGATGTATGCAGGGCTTTACCTTCTTCAAGATGATGCACTTGAGAGACCACAAAACTCTTGTACAGCCTTAGCCTCTCGTACTAGCAAGGATGACCTTATCATGTTATGGCATTATAGATTAAGACATCCAAATATTTCATACCTAAAAAGGATATTTCCCTCGTTATTCAATAACATCTCTAAAGATTTTTAATGTGAAATTTGTCAAATTTCCAAACACTTAAAATACCTACCCTAACCTTTCCTATAAATCATCTTAGCCTTTCTCAATGATTCACAGTAACATTTGGGGATTGTCAAGAGTTAACAATATCATAGGTTTGAGGTGGTTTGTTACATTCATCAATGATCATACTCGACTCATTCGGGTATTCCTTATAAAATAAAAATCCAAGGTTAGCCAAATCTTTCAAAACTTCGATAGCATGGTACAAATCCAATTTCAAGCCAAAATTCAAGTCCTAAAAACTGAGAATGGAAGGGAATACTTTAACTCTATTCTTGGCCTTTACCTCACCATGCATGGCATTATCCATCAAAGTTCTTGAGTTGACACTCCACAGCAAAATGGGGTTGTCGAGCGCAAAAACAGATATTTGATAGAAGTGACCAGATCCCTCTTGTTGACTTCCAATGTGCCTAAATATTTTTGGGGAGAAGCTGTCCTTATTCCAACCTATTTGGTTAACCGAATGCCTTCCCAAGTTCTTGGCTTTAAAGCACCTTGTCAAACTCTCCTTGCTTCCTACCTACAAACTCGGTTGATCTCTTATATCCCTATCAAACTCTTTGGCTGCATTGAGTTTTGTTCATATTAGCCAATAGAACCGTGGCAAGCTTGATCCCAAAGCTTTAAAATGCATCTTCCTTTGTTATTCCCCAACCAAAAAAGCTATAGGTGTTACTCATCACAAAAAAATTCTATAACTCTATGGATGTCACCTTCTTTGATAAACTTTCATACTACAACAAGAATGAGATTCAGAGGGAGAATACTACTCAGGAATGTCAATTCTTAGTTATTGACTTGCCAATTTCCCAACAAACCCTTTCAAAAGTAGATTCCCAACCTACCTAACCTATCAGCCATGCGGATTTCGAAACCCAACATGTTCAGACAACTTTTGACTTTTGAAACCCTAAGTTATACAAGAAAAAACAAAAGAACTAATAGTCTACTCAATGAAGCAACCACAGGAAAATGTGGAGAACTGTACACAGCCCAGCATTAAAAATCAACCTAATCCAAGTCTCCAAGAACTTGAAACTAACACAGGTAATGTCCCTATTGAATCTGAAGCTGAAACTTGTGAGGCAACTGGTGACCTTGACATTTTTATTGCATTAAAAAAAAGTGTGAGATCATGTACCCAATACCTTATCTACAAGTATATCTCATATGACAGGTTAAATCCAAACTTTCAAGCCTTTCCTACTTACCTTAACAATGTGCAAATTCTAAAAAAAAATATTCAGGAAGCCTTCAATGAACTAGATTCGAAGGCAACATTTTTGAAAAAATTGAGGCACTAGAGAAAAATGAGACATGGAATATTTCAGATTTGCCCAAAAGGGTTGGATGTAAGTGGATCTTCATAATAAAGCACAATGTAGATGGAAGTATAAACAGGTTCAAAGCTAGACTTGTTGCAAAGGAGTTCGCTCAATCCTATGAGATAGACTATGAGAAGACATTTGCTTCAATAGCCAAACTCAATTTAGTTAGAGTTCTATTGTCACTACCAGCCAACTTGGATTGGCCTCTCCACCAACTTGATATCAAGAATACATTGTTAAATGGTGACTTGGAGGAGGATGTCTACATGGAAATTCCCCCTTGTTTCGAAAGGGAAGACAACATAGACAACGTGTGCAAACTTAGGAAAACTTTGTATGGACTTAAACAGTCTCCTCAGGCTTGGCTTGAAAGGTCAACCAAGGTATTGAAGAGGTATAGATTCCTTCAATGTCAATTTGACCATACTACATTTGCTAAGTTCACTAATGAAGGAAAAAGAGTTGTTCTTATTGTTTATGTGAATGATATCCTAATCACCGAAGATCTCAAGGAAGGAATAGATGATTTGAAAAAACTTCTTGCAAAGGAGTTTGAAATAAAGGATTTGGGGTTCTTTAAATATTTCCTTAGGATGGAAGTGGCTTGGTTTAAGAATAGAGTATCAGTGTTTCAGTGTAAGTATATACTTGATCTAGTCAAAGAAACCGGCATGATTGGATGCAAACCTACTGATACACTGATTAACTCAACTAATAAAATTGGAAGTGAAAATGAAAGCTCCTTTACGGACAAAGGGTGATACCAAAGACTAATTGGGAAGCTTATTTACCTCTCCCACACATGACCTGATATCGAGTTTGTAGTAGGGATGGTGAGTGGATACATAAATAATCCAACCAATGAGCATCTCAAAGCTGTTCATCGCATCCTACAATACTTAAAGAAGAGTCTTAATGAAAGTCTATATTTTAATAAGTCAATGGACAAAGCAGTGAAGGTGTACACAGATGCAGACTAGGCTAGATCAATAATAGATAGAAGGTCCACTACTGGATATTGCACTTATGTTTGGGGCAATTTGGTCACTTGGAGAAGTAAAGAACAAGCTATTGTAGCTAGGAGTAATGTCCCATAGTATTTGTGAAGGAATTTGGCTTATGAGGTTACTTGGAGAATTAAAAGTTCATACTATGACATCTATGACACTGTTTTGTGACAATAAGGCTACTATAAGTATTGCCAAAAATCCTGTTTATCATGATAAGACCAAGCACATAGAGCTGGACCAACATTTCATAAAGAAAAAGATAGAAAATGGGTTAGTCAAACTAGCCTATATCCCTACAAGTTCACAAATTGCAGATATTCTAACTAAAGCTCTTCCTAAAAGCATTTTTGATGGATTGAAATCCAAGCTAAGTATGATTAACATTCATAACCCAGCTTGAGGAAGAGTGTAGAAATTTGATTCTCCTACATTAGTGCAAATCTGATTCTCTTATATTAGTGCAGTTTGATTTTTAATTTATTTTAGAACTATTTCTCATTTACTTTTCTAATTTAGTCAACTATTCTGATTGTTAAGTTTTTAGATTGTTAAGTTTTTAGGGATTTGTTTTTATTTTAGAATAATATAATTCTCTTTTTTTTTATTTTTGTTTTTTGTTTAATGTAAGTTTTTTCCTAATAAGGAACTTCACTATTCTTATTTATTTAGATGTATTCCTTTATTATAGATTGAATAAAAAGAACTAAGGATAATTGTTCTTTAAGTTGCCTACAATTTTCCACCTTGAATGTAGGGATCCATGACCGTGATTCACTAATAATTTTATTAAAATCAAACAGAAAAAATAATTACAAACAAAATACTCTAATTTTATAACATTTTGAATGTTGAATAACTTCTCATTGGCAATTCATTTCATAGAAAAGCAAATAGAGCTTGATGTCTATTTGTCATTTGCTTTCTTTTCTGCGAAGAGATGCTGCCTTTTTATTTGTACTCCATCAGTGTTTATAAAATCTCATTTCCATTATAAAATAATTGTATTACCCAAATTTAGCATCCATTTTGCTTGATTTTGAAACCATCAGTAAATGCTATTTATTGCTAGGAAGCATCTTTTAGGTCTCAAGATAACCGCTTCACTGAAGAATGAGCGGCTTGATTCTCTATGCATTTATGGCTGACTGAATTTGTTCCAAGGTTTTCCCCTTCGTTTCAGGTACCACTGTGACCGCAAACAATATAGCCAGTGCATTGATTGCAGCATAAAGAATGAAGGTACCTGAAATCCACAGGAGTTGAAGGTAAATTCCCATATCTTTTATTTCTTGGAGGTCATCCTAATGCTTTATACAAATATGACATAAAACTTGGCTCTCAAAGTCGAAGTTTTCTTTGTGAAGCCAATTAACTTGCTTTGTAATCTCAATTGAATCAATTACTGCTTGATTGTAGGGAATTTAAAGATAAAAAGAGGAAAAATATATTCTATTTACCATAGGAGCTCCAGGTCATAAGAAAGTTGAAAGTGTAAGAAACTGCCCATGCACCAAACCAGTTCACTAGTGTTGCTAGGCTTCCAGCCACTCCTTTAATATTTATTGGGAATATCTGCAACCAAATACCTTGTTTATAGAAGTGGAATGATTAGTCCATCGATTTGAATGGTAAATCTTGCAGACTTTTTTGTTACCTCAGACATTACAACCCAAGGAACTGCACCCATCCCAGCTGAAAAGGCACCTATGTATATCTGAGCTCAATTAAGATTCGTGTCAGAAATAACATAGGAGAAATGGAAAGCCATACTTTGCCAATGAACAAATTGAATGGGTATATGATTTGATAAAGTTACCAATATGCCTGTTACAGCAAGAATGGGAACTGAATTGAGTGCCAAATTATGATCCTGGTTGGCAAAAATTCTCAAAATATTAGTAATTGACAGCATCAAAGGGAAGTATAGTTATAGATGATAGTTTGACATTTTAACCTTAAAATAGAATGAAATCCCAGATAGTACACAGCCAAGGACCAATCCCGTTGAAGAAACCTAGAATGAAAGGAAAATATAAGATTCACCTTCTGTCCATGAAAGCAATTTGTCTCAACAATTTAAGGACCTCATAACTGTTAAATTGCTCTTATATTTACCAGTAATAGAGGCTTTCTTCCAGCTTTATCAATCACAGTTGCATTAAGGCCAGTGACCACAACCTGAACAAATGATTGTTTTAAGCTATTGTTTGCCAGGAAGAACTACATGGATATCATGGAAAGGGAGAGATGAAACCTGAAGAATAGCATAAGTTATTGTCCCAATAGTGGCAGAAAATCCTGAGACATTTAAAGTACAAAAGCATCAATGTTAATAATAGATAGGACTCTTTATTATTGCTCCTTTTTATTATTATTGTTATTATTAATTTTTTGAGGTTTAGAAGTTGGATTTCCAATAATTTCATAGAGAATAAAATACATCTCAGAAAACTGGCTTATCCTACTAGATCCTGGTTCTGGCCAAAAAAAAGGGAAATCCTATGTATCTGTTATAGAAGACAGAATGCCGAGGTTCACTTTCTTTGTCATCATTATCTTATGAAGTGCATTTACCAGGCTCTTTCTAATCTTTTTCCTTCATGCATCAAGGTGTAACTCAAAGGTTTCATTACCTGCCGACTCGAAAATATTGCTGACATAAAAGCAGATTCCATTGATCCCCCCAAATTGTTGAAAGACCATTAATCCAACTCCTATCTGATCAAAGATAAATGCATGATAAAAAACCATTAATTAAGATATAAGGGTGAAAAGTTGTGGTTGCTAATTATTCGAAGAAGATTGATCTGAATCTGATTGTACAACTGGGTTTGGAACTGAGTTATAATTACAGTGACTGAGCGTAAGTATCTTCGTTGAAACAAATCCAGCATTTTGGCTTTTGGAAGCCGTTCGAGAGTCTCTATATAGTCCTGTCAAGCAATAGCATAAGTTATTTCTTAAACATTTTCTCTATAATGCTCTAACTCATTTTCACTGTTGGTTGGGATGAGAGGTTTAAATTAAGAACCCGAATCTCAGCTGCCTCCTTTGATATATCAGTATCCTTGCCACGAAGGTCTTGTAGTGCAGCTTCAAATTCTTTTTCACGTCCTATCTTTGCCTGCATTATATCTAAGATTTTTATCCAATTCCCATTTAATGTTACTATAATTCAGGGGAAAAAAAGGATTCAATCATCTTTTCACTGCTATTTCATACCAGCCATCTGGGAGACTCTGGAATGAAAAAGAGTCCAAAGACTAGAATTGCACAAGGAATAAGTCCTGCAATCACTCCACTTGTGAGTCCCAGCTTGTGTTATCTAGCTTTACAAACTCACCCACACACACGTACACATGGTTTTGCAGAAGAATGTTGTGAATCCCTGTGCTTTGAATAAATGGATAAGACACTTTTACCTGTTAATGCTAAAGCCCTCCAAGTTAGAACTGTCCCTATTATGAAGGCGACAGATACTCCACTACAGATCATAAGCTGTAGAATAAGATGTGAAATAATCAGATAAAACTGTGTACATGTTTCATTTTTGTCTATCTTTGTTATGCATTTATATTGCACATTCAGTCAACTGATGACTGTTCAGAAAATTAAATTTACAACTTCAGGAAATTGTGATGATGATAATGACTGCTGCTACTTGACAGGCACATGTTACCTGATTTATAGTTGTTAGTGCTCCTCGAAGATTCTTTGGTGCAATTTCAGCGATAAATACTGGTACCTTGTCATACATTCAATAAAGGCATCACGGTCGTTAAGAACAGGTAATGTACCAGTTACTGAAGAAGGTTTAGGAGTGAAATCCTAGAAGAGATATAGATACTCACCACATATGAGAAGACCCCCATTCCATATCCTGTTGCCAGTCTTCCAATGTCCAAAGCCAAAGCCCCCTTTTGTTTTCAATTAAGACAAAAAGATTATTAACTCATATTTCCGCATAATTGGTTCTGGTTAATTTGCAGTTTAATAGAACTATTAAAACCTTAGCAAAGTAAATAGCAAGCCACCCTCCGACACAAAAGCCAGTAGCTGTTCTCATTGCCTGCACATGTTTAGTAATGAACATGATATTCATGGTTAAAGCAAAACAAAAGTGTTCAATGAAAGAGCAGTTTAGCATACGTTAATCAATGATATCTCTGCTTACCCCTTTCCTACCAATAAAATCAGCAATTGGTCCACTTGTGATTGCACCAATCATTGCACCAAAAGTCAGTATAGAACCAAACACTGAATACTGCACATTCAAAGATCAAGGGCATGAGTTTGAAGTTGCTTCTGTAAGTAAAAATACCAATTGTTTTAATGAGAATTCTAGCTTTAGCTAATCTTGTCAGCTGCAAGAAAAAAGTATGCAATTCTCCTCCAATAAGTTCTTGCTAAAATCTGTTCGTATTATGTTCAAACCATTAAGCATTCTGAATACCTCTGCTAGAGTCAGAGAGAGATCCTCCCTAATGGCAGTCTGAGTTGGTGACGAATAGCCTGCCTGAAAATGATTTGGATTTAGTATTAGAATTATGAAAGTAATATTACAAGCAAATTAACCTCATTCTTGGACATTTTTTTCAGCTCTAGAGAGTAGAGAGGGGAGACTTACACAGGATCCAAACTCAAATGAACCACATACTGCAACAACGGTGCTGAGGTAAACCATCCATAAACTTGCTTTGCTGCTTGTCTTATCTGTATATCCATCTTCCTCATCGGCCATGTTTTTCTTTTCTTGCAAAAGAGGTACGCTTACCTCTTCATGCACACAGTCGTTACCTCTCTCTATATCCTCTTTGATGGCCATGGTCTCCTTCTCTATTTAACTGTCAGTATATTGATACAAACGGAAAAGAGAAGAAGCTTGAAGCAATTTGTTCAAGGTGAAGAAGATATGGAAAAATGGAAGGTGGAAATTCCAGGTGAGAGTTCCATTTTTTTTGTCAAACTTGCCACGTTTCTTTTACGTATGTATTGAATATGAAACCACATCGAGGCATGCTGCTAGCTGTTTTCTTCATTCAGTGGCTCCACGTTGCTGTAATTTTTTTTTTTTAGTGCTAGTTAAAATGAAGTACATTACTTTGACACAAGTGAACAAAGCATTGTGGCATGTATTCAAAATTTGAATAATAGAAGAATGAATTTTAACATATATATGCAACAAGACAGCAGGCAAGATTGAAAATCCATGATTTTGTAAAACCAAAACACTATTTAGTATTATTATTACTGATTCCTGATGATGACTAGCCGCCGTTGTGGTCCATAAGAGTTTATTCTCTGTCTAGAGATCACAAAAAAGCGGTCTTTTCAACTATGTCTTTGTGGTTAACATGCTTTGCAACTTGTCCTGTTGTTGATCGCGTTGAACTCCCAAGGCATTCAAGCTTCAGCCTTCAAGTACTCCTATTTTCATTTTCTTTTTACTTCATTGCAATAAATCCCCCCCCCCCTCTCTCTCTCTCTCTCTCCAATTATGCAGTTTTGTTTTGTACGATTGAGCAGTCGCCGTCTTTGTAAACAGTGAGCACACATATTTAAAGAGCTACCAGTTTTAATGGACTGACCGGTAGTTTGAATTGCGATCAATATCTATCAAAGATATTTATTGGCAATGTAGCAGCTGTCACCCTCAGTAAATATTAGAAACATTTAGGGAAATTTGATTCGGGAAAATTTATATGTTTTTTCTTTAAATTTTATTGTTGCATATTTAATTTTAACATTTGATTTAAGATTATTTGATTTTAAATTTAAAGTTTCGTAATAAAAAATTTATTTTTTTTAATATTTTAAGATTTCAAAGAAAATAATAATATTATTTTTAAATTTGATTTGAATTAAAATTCGAAAATAACTATTATCATTTTGAATAAGATTACTTAAAGTATTTTTTATTAAAAATATTTTTAATAATTTTTTCATAAATCTTTATGAGGAGATTATTCGATATATTTTTTATTAAAAATATCTTGAATAATTTTTAAAAAAATTTTAATAAAGTTATTAAAAGCTTTTTTGATAAAAAAACGTATTTAATAATCTCTTCATAAATTTTTATAAGATGATTATTCAATGTTATTTTTATAAAAAATGTTTTGAATAATTTCAAAAAAAAAATTAATAGGATTATTAAAAGTATTTTTTGGTAAAAATGCCTAAATAATCTCAAAAAAAAATTTAATGTTGTTATTGAAAGTATTTTTTGATTAAAAACGTCTTCAATAATTTTCTCATAAATTTATATAAAATGAAATCAAAACATTTTTTGTCAAAAATACCTTGAATAATCCAAAAAAAAAATTAATGTTGTTATTAAAGGCTTTTTTGATCATAAACTCCTTCAATAATCTATTAAAAAAATTTTAAAATTATATAAGGCATTTTTTTACTTAAAATGCTTTTAGTAATCACGTCATAAAATTTTATGAAGGAATTATTGAATACATTTTTTATTAGAAATGTCTTTAATAATCTATTAAAAAAATTTTCAAAATTATTCAAGTGTTTTTGGTGAAAACTATCTTGAGTAATCACCTCATAAAAATGTATGAATAGATTATCAAAGATGTTTTTGACTAAAAAATACAATTAATAATCCATTAAAAAAAATTTTGAGATTATCTAAAGCATTTTTGATAAAAACTTTTTTGAGTAATCACCTCATAAAAATTTATAAAAAGATTATTAAAAGCGTTTTTGGTCAAAAACGCTTTCAATAACCCTATTAAAAAAAATTTTGAGATTATTCAATGCATTTTTTGTGAAAAATACCTTGAATAATTATTTCATAAAAATTTATGAGAAAATTATTAAATATATTTTTTGTCAAAAATATTTTTAATAATCTCCTCATAAAAATTAAAAATTATAATTATTATTTCAAAAAAATTATAATAATTATTTAAAATTTAATATATGTAAATTCTTCCTAATCAAGTGAATTTAAAATTTATTTGTTGACTCAATGATTTCGTGTCTGGAAAAAAATGCATTCGTTTGGGATATATATAGGGTCAGAAATGGAGGCTCCAAACTTAAATTCTTCAAGTGCAACAAACTTTTTCTTAAAGATATCAACAAGTATTAATTCATCTTTTTCAGTATACTTTATGAATACTCAGTGTATTTTAGTTCAACGGTTTGTAATGTTGATTTGCCTTCCCAAGATTAAGCTCATTATGACAAGGCCAAAAAAAACTGCTAATATTTTAAAGCTGACCCATGACCATGAGGCCAGTCCAAATACAAATGGCAGGTTGACCCATGAGGCTTGCATCTTGCAAGATCTGTATAGTGTAGTGTAGGCTTAGGCTAAAGACTCAACCATGTCCATGGGAGAATTTGCATTACTTGATACCGTCGGAATTTAAATTTTGAAGTATTATTATCCTTTACCTCAGAGGTGCAGTTCAAAACTCTGTAAGATTTGTATTTTTATCACCTGTTCGTTCACTAAGATATTGTAATAACTCATTGATTTTGGTATATAAAGACGATGAATTTTTCATTCGACCAAAAGGAAGCAAGAAACACCTGCTACATGAGAAACAAGAAAAGAAATATGATCATTTTGTAGTTTAATTCTGATTTCTTACTGTATTTCTTTGTTTATTATCAAATTGATATGATGAAAGAAAAAATAAATAAAATTCATAATTCCCATATGACAAAGCACACTTTCTTCACTCTACTTGCACCCTATAACCCTAAGCAAATTAATATCTACATCAACCGCTGCAAACAAATTTTATATGGACATAAGACATTTGAATTCACGTTTAAGAGTTGCTTCACCATGTTGTTGGTCAACCATCTTCTGGCACATCAAACTCAGTCAACCATCTTCACTAATCCTCGAGCTATGGCTCCTGAACTACAAAGATGAATCCTTCGTCCATATGAGATGCAGCTCCGGGCAACCACAATGGCTGCACTCTTCCCACTCTCTTATCAAGAAGCACAGTGCTGAAGCCAAAGCCGTAAATATCACTATTCTCTGTTGATTTACCATGGAAAATATGTGCACGAGCAGCATCAATCATTTTCTGTCCAAGCTTAGGCCAGCATGAGCTGCATCACTTCTACAGCATGCCACAAATTCATTCTAATAAGCATGTATGTGATTTCTTTTGCAAATATGCCTACTTTCTATTGTTCAATGATGCAATTATGTTATGTTGTGATTAAAAAACTTCTATTCAAGAGCCTGAACTTATCCCTTCCTCCTTACTGCCAGAATGATGACTATTTTCATAAGTAAACATCTGATAGCCAGCAGAACAGGACAGCTGACCTGACCCATTACTGCTTATAGATCTCTCAATGTCATCAATATGAGCTACCAGAGGAATTGGCCGCTCAGGGATTGAGGGAACTGAAATGTCTGTTTCCAACATTTTCACAACCTGATCCATGGATGGCCTGCATGGTAACTCTGGGTGAGAGCAAAGAACCGCTATCAACACATACTTCTCCAGAACTTCTGGTGGCCCCAACTCTGGCATGCCATTGTCGACAACATCCAAAGCTCTCCCACTCTTCACCAACGACCATGCCCAATCAGCCACTAGAGAAGGCTGGTTCTCATCAGTCATAGCCAGCGCCTTCTTTCCACTCAACAGCTCAAGAAGCACTATGCCAAAGCTATACACATCACTCCTCTCAGTCAATTGCCCATACAACGCATACTCAGGGGCAACATATCCCATTGTTCCAGCTACCCTAGTGCTCAAATGTGTCATCCCCTCTGGCGTAAACTTTGCAAGCCCAAAATCTGCTACCTTGGCTTCAAACTTCTCATCCAAAAGTATATTACTTGCTTTAATATCCCTATGAATGATTGCTGGCTGTGCCCCATAATGCAAATAAGCCAGTCCCCTAGCTGTCCCTAGCGCAATCTTTTGACGAATAGGCCAACTAAGTCTCCTTTCCATGGAGCCAAACAGATGATCATACAAACTCCCATTCTTCATTAAATCACAGACAATTATCCTCTGATGACCCTCTAACGGGGTCGTAGCTGTACAATATCCCCTCAAAGCAACAAGATTTACATGTCTAACACTAGCAATAACCTGAACTTCATGCGCAAAATTGGCATCACCAGCAGCAGAACAATTCTTGAACCTTTTCAAAGCAACCTCAGAGCCATCAGGCAAGTAACCCTTGTACACATTCCCATAGCCTCCTATCCCGATAATGTTATCTCTAGAGAAATTCCTAGTAGCTTTTTTAATCTCGTCGAAAGTAAACTTAACCAAATTAGTACTTTCACTAATTGAAGCCAACCCAGAACCACCCAAACCACCCATCTCAAGATTCCTAATTCTATCCCGCTTTTTCTTCCTCTTCGAATCCTGGTATTTTCTATAAACAAACCAAGACGCACCAATCAAAACAGCTAAACCAATACCAACCCCGATGAATACACCCAAAATCACACCTCTTCTACTACTCTTATGATTACTACTACTATCACTTAACTCAATTGAAAATAAACAAGCGGCCGTACCTTCATCAGTTGGTCCCAAGTAATTAGCAACAGCAGCTGCATAAATAGACGGGTATGCGGTACAGTCAGACACGTTTGCAGTTGAATTGTCGGTCAAGTACAAAGCTTGCAAATTGGCCAAGCTTCGAGTACATGAAGCACAAGCTGAACCCTGTAACGACTGGTTACAGTTCGAAACGACACCGGTTAAAGTAGCATTTGGGATCAGAGCTTCGAAATCAGCTTTCGTGGTTAAGTTCATGCAACCTTGGGAGATCCAAGCGGTTTGGAAACCGCAAGAGGAACGAATGTTGAAGTTTGGGATGAGGGTTTGGTAAGACTGCCAACAGGCCTCGGAGGAGTTTAAGGGAGGAAAGAAAGATGCGGTGCGTTCAAGGTAGTCGGAGAGGACGAGGCGGAGGCCCTGACGAATGTAGTGACACTCCATGGAGGTGTTGAGCAGGGGCCTCGGGTGGGAAAGGAGCGGGCGAAGGATAGTGAAGTTTAAGGGACATGATACGGTGTCGGTTTGAGCAAGGCATGATGGGAAGAAAGTTAAGATGAAGAAGAAGAAGAGAAGATGGCGTAAAGACATTTGTGAGACAGCAACTCATTGGGGAGAGAGAGAAGTGGGATTTGTTTGCGTTTTGTTTTAACAAACGTTGAAAATAGTACAGTGAAGTGAAGACTGAAGTCAATCGGAGACAGCGGAGGGGCGGGCGGCTGAGAAAACCAGCTGGCAAGTTCCTGGCAGCTTGTGTGGTGTTTACTTTTCTTGATGATATGGTTGGTTTTGTTCGTCTCTGGTCCAATTTGGGTTCTCACTCTTATTTTTCAGTTTTCCAAATCCAAAGGGATTTCATTTTTTTTTTCTTATAAATAAATTCATTTAAAATGATCAAATAAATCTTATTACGTGTAAATTTAAATATTGCATCAATGAGGTCTTATCCTTCAAGTTTAAATCTTATTATGTGTAAATTTAATGTAATTTTATATTAAATTTATACACTTATATTATGTTGATTCATTTATTAATTTATTTATTCAATCCATCTTTATTAAATTTTATATGCAAAAAGAATAAAATGGTTGTGCTATATTTCAATCTTTATTTTTGGCCGCCACTATACTTCAAAAGTTGAATAATTTTCAATTCAACATGATGTTTTTTTGTCTCTTTGTAAGGTATGATTAAATTTCAACTTCTAATTAAAAAGATGTTTATGTTAATTAAATTCCAATTACTTGTGTAATTGTGTTATTATAAATACTAGTACTAATAAATATCCATAACGCGTTCCTTTTTATTGAACGAGAATATTCTTTCAATAAAAATAGATAAAACTCATTTTATTTTAAAATATATCAGTTGACTGTGCGGATGAATTATTACTATTAATATTATATATAATTTATGAATTATAATAAAATATTTAATATGATATTTAAATTTTAAAATTTTTTAATAAAAATATTTAAATTATAAATTTCTTAATTAATATGAAATTTGAAATGTACATGTCATTATTTAAAATTAATTATATTATGATAAATATTATATTAATTAATTAATTTATAATTTATATCTTAAATTAAATATTTTTAAAATTTAAATATCATATTAAATATTTTCATTATAATTAAATAATTTTTGTACTGTTAAATCTAATAAAATGATAAAATACGTGTAGCTTAATATTGGCTTTGAAGCATGGTTTCAAGTAACGTAATCAAAGCCTAGTGGGTGGATCACTTAACCCGCACTTAAATTTAACTTTTTTTTTTCATAATTTAGGATAATTTATAAAATGAACTCATTAAAGATGAATTTGAGTGTCAATATATGATATAAAAAATTTGAAGATCAATTTATAGTTAATAAAAGTTAAAAGTGATGTATTTATCTATTACCCTTAAAAAATTAACCAAAGTTTAATAAAAACAAAAAAATTTACCTATTAAAACTTCAATTGTGATTGTAAGTATACAAAGATTATTTTTATGTGCGAATATAATAAAGAAATATTATATATTTGAATGAAATATAATTTGATAAATAATTGTTTAATTATATATATTAAAAAAATACATTTAATAATGTTGATAATTAAGCAACTATACAATACTTTCAAATTATAAAAACTAGTTATGACTGAATATTTTTATATTGTATAATTCTTTTTGTTAATAATTTGTCTTATTTTTTTGTAAAGACATCATTGTTATGTAAAGATTATATATGTAAATTTTATATTCATATATTTGTGTATTATGAAATATAATATTTTTATAGTCCATTTTTGTGTGTCTTTTTTTTTTTAACTTTACTTTAAGCCCCTATCTAATACTTTTTTGATTAAAAGAATATTATGTATATAAATTATTTCGAATTTGTAATATTTAAATATTAATTTTAATAATATCAATTAATTTAAAGATCAATTGATTTATACGTTTTATTTTAATTATTATAAAAATTAGAAAAAAAATTTAGTATTTTGTATTAACATGTTTAATTTTTTTAATTTGATATTTCATGTTTTTTACATAAAAAGTAATACATATTTGAAATATGAAAAAGAATAAAAATATTTGTCATCGGATAATCGAAAAATTAAAACATATATTATAACTAATTGACTCCACTAAAAAAATATTAAAAAGGTATTTACTACGCCACTGATGGTTTCCATACAAATTGAATCCACGTTTTACCCTTGAATTGGTTCAAAGTGCAGGAAAAAAAAAAAAAAAAAAGGTTCCCCATCCATATTACCCTTTCACGGAATGGTTCGGAAGGGAACAAAATAAAACATATACGAACCTAAGGCCTTTGCCGACGGCATCCACTTTCACTGCGTATATGAAAAAGAATAGTTACATTTTATCCTGTTTTGCATTTTTTTTTTAATATTAAATAAACGTTTGAAATTGTGACCTTCCGTTCAGTGTTATTAAAATTATGACCCTTTCGACCTAAGGTTAAACGATATAAGAAATGAAATTGATTGCAGAATATGATGAGGAAATAGAGTAAGCCAAGTGGCAAGACATATGGCATGCCACATGGATGGATGAGGTTTTTTTCTAAGTGGTCAACGCTTAAAAAAAGTTCCAATGGAAAATTGGAAACAAAATAAAAGTAAAAATCTTTTCCTCTGGAATTTCAAATTAATTAGCAAACATCCACTTAAATCCCACAGGATTAAAAATATAACAAATACTCTTAAAATCTAGTTAAAAATAAATACATATACTAGTTTTTAAATTTTATTTATGAAATTAAAAAAATCATATTATTAATATATAAAAACATCTCATATATATTTATAGAGGAATTTATTTACACTAATGTAAAATTTTTTAATTTTATATTTTTTTAACCATTAATTTTAATATATCTAAAAAATAAATTTAAATTATTTTTTCATTTATTTTTTAATCATTTAAATTTATTAAAATTTATTAATAAAAAATATAAAACTAAAAATTTAACATTAATATAAATTACGAAACTGTGAAGAGCAACACCGGAGGAAGCAATGTAGGAGGCTTTTTGCCCATATAATATGTCAACTGGCACTCTGAAATAATAAATAACTAATCTTTTTATCCATTTACTGCTGTATAACATGAATCAGGTGCAACTACCGTCACTTTATTTAAAAAAAAAAAACAAAAGGAAGGGTAACTTTCTAATCATGCGGGCAATCCCCACAAGTTATCAATCGTGACACTGTTTATATGTATATCAACAAAACGTATAACATATCTATTTTACAATTTTTTTTTAAGTTTAGGAAATTAGAAACCCATTTCCTTTGACCAGCTTAATTTATGATAGTTAAGAGATGTCAAGATTTGGAACTTTTTTTTTTTTGAATAAAATACAAAATGAGATTTTGTACTAAATTTTAGATTCTATAATAGTTGGTGATTTAAAATGTTAAATTTAACTTAATTTATATAATTACTTTTATAAAAAAATCTAATAAATTTAAATTTTGAATTATAATAGTTAAAGTCACTTTCCTCTGTCACCAAACTCGGTCTCCTGTATAAAAAATTATTAATTATGACTCATATTTTAATTGGTCAATTGCTTTGCTGCCTAATTTTTCAGATTATCCAAATTGAGTAGGCTTATGGGTCAACAAAAAAAACTGTATCACGGACAAACCACCCCCCCCCACCAAAAAAAAAAAAAAACCCCACAAAACAAAGAATTTAACAAAAAAATATAATAATAAGTTGTTGATGGTCTTCACCAAAAAGACCAAAGTAGCAGTTGACACAGCAAAATCTGATCTCAATTCTTAACAAATCAGTTTTTTAGCGTAAGACCCAAATGCGAGCCACCAACTGAAAGGGGAAGAAGAAGAATCCCATTATTTTTTTATCTCAGCTTGTATCTCAATCAAAAACCACTTTCAAAAGTGACTTCAAATTCTAGTATAAATAAATAATTTACTCTCTTGCTGTAATCACTACTCTTATAAAACAAGCAAACATGATATTTTTTATTACCAACCAAAATACCAAAAAAAAAATCATAATAAATATGCGGTTATTTGTATTTTTTTAAGGAAAAAAAAAAAAAGAGTATGAGAATCTTCGTAGTAGTGTTTGGTATGATTAGTTATAACGATCTCTTGATTTGGAGGTAAAGAATGTCCCTAATCATTTATTTTTTCACATCTAAGCTTACTTGTTTGGGGTTTTTGATTTATGAATACTGAAGTAAATTATACTACTACTAATTACTACTTTATAATGATTACATACCAATGTTAATTTGTATAGTTGTTGATGTCATGAAATTGATATTATTTGGTTGTTCTTAAGGCATTTTGGAGTTATCACAACATTTATTTTATTTTTTATTTTTTGGATTACAATTAGATTTGAAGTCTAAATTTTCAATTTTAATATCAGACTTTAATACAACTAAATTAACAATTTATTGACTATCAAAATATTTATTATTATTTTACTTAAATAATTTATTAGAAGTAGCATTGATTCGGTTTAACTAACTTAAGGAAATGGCATGAGATTAAATAAATCATAAATGATTTCTGAAGTGAAATGTCTAGACTAGTGTTAATGAGATAATATAATTAAGGACTAGATGGCTCTAAGATGATCATGGCTTCCGTGGACAAATTTTTTTAGCATTTCTTTTGGTCAATTAAATAAATTAATTTAGTACAAGAAGAATGGCCCATGTCTATATATAAATTAATTGAATTATCATTAAAATTTTTAAAAAATATTTATTAATAAAAAGTTAGATTTTTAATTTTAATAATCAAATTTTAATTTTTGATAATTTTAAATATAAAAAAATACGTGCATAAAATATTTTTCAAAAATAAATTTATTCAAAATACAATAATATAAAGACTTAACAATACTAAAGTGGTTAAATGTTGTATTATTATTGACATCTCACTCAAAATGAACATATTTATTTTTTTTCCCTCAATGTAAAATTCAGTAATTTGGAATTTAAAACCATTTGATCTGAGAAAACGTAAGTTTAGCAACATGACAAGTTCACAACATTGTCCAGTTCTCCACAAAATCTAAACTAAACCAATTTTTGTTTAGATTATGATTTTAGCAGAAAGACTCGGAAATCCTAACAAAGTTTACAAATATTTCAATTTTGTCCTTTTTTAGTTAGATATTCAAGATTTTTGTTTTACCTTAAATAAAACTAAAAACTCTTTAAACATTGAACATTTAGAATCTTCAAACTACTATATTTAAATTTCCTTTTATTTACTTATTGTTAATTTTAATTCATATAATTATTTAAATAAATCATGATATTTTTTTTAAGAGGGTAAAACAAATCATGAAAGAAAATTTTTCATGTTTATGATTTATTTATTTAATTAATAAAATTTAAAATATTATTTACGATTATTTATTAAATGTGATAAATAAATAAAAATAAATAAAAATTAAACATACTCATGAAATTTTTTAAAACCTTTTTGAATTATCTCTAATTTTTTTCTATACCTTAGTACAGGAACTCATTAAAAATCCACGTGACACAACTGGAAGGAGAACAGAAACGGAGTCGTCTATGACCAATCAAAGCTTTTCAAGTACGGAAAGAATCTTAAACCACCTCATCTTTAATTTCCATTCTATTTTATTTCTCTTTAATAATATTAATTAATAAATAAATCATTTAAGCAGTAATAGTATTTACTTTTGAAATAAAAAACATATTTATTGAGGAAGAAATCATTAAAAACAATATTGTTGAAGAAGCAAGTGATCATAAAAGCTTAGAGTAACTGCAAAATTACGTGCTTCTCTTCTTTCTCCGTCACCCTACCCCTTTTGTTTCCGTATCCTCTGTTGTTGTTTTTCTGTTGTTTGCTCTTTGTCTAACAACATCTGAATATTTCTGAAGAGTTTCGGCTTCTCCTTAATGGTATGTCCATTGTCTTAGCTTATTGTTCTCTATTTTCTGTCTTTTCTTAGTATTCTGTCCCTTTTTTTTTTCTTCTTTGTTGCTTAGTTGGATGAATTTTGCATTATATTTTATCATAAACCTTTTTTCACGTCTTTGTTTTCTGTCTTGGCTTCCCCTCTGTATTAGTTTCTCTTTGTTGGGTTGCTTTCTTTTCAACATAAAACCCATTGTTTTTTAATATATATATGTATATATATATATATAGAGAGAGAGAGAGAGAGAGAGAGAGAGAGAGTAGGAAGCGTGCCGTTTCCATTTATATTTGTTCTATTCTGTTTAGCAAGTTTGTTTTGCTGCTTCAAAATTCTAACCTTTTGTAAGAATCCATCCTTTATCTTTGCACTCAAGTTGGTTTTTATTTGTTGTTCATCCTATTTTTTTTCTTTCGAATACGCCGCATGTTTTAATTTCTGCCCATTTTAGGTGATTCTTAGCTTTCTGTGATTGTATTTGCGCAGAAACCAAAACGATTTTGCAAGTTAACGGGTGAAATCAATTCACTCTGTTCTTTCCCCTGTCTCTTTTCAGTGAAGCTGCAAAATGGATTTTAGTTTTGGTTTCTATCCATGATCTTTAGATATGGATAAGAAGGCTGATACATGTTCTCCTAATGGAGTTCTCGAGGATTTCTTTAAGAGTGAAGAGTTTGAAAGGAGTTATTCTTCTAAAGCACCCAGTACAGACTTAGCAAATGAGCAAAACTCAAAGCAAGGTTTTCGATGGAGTGGATTTGCGCAATTATTTAGAAGTAGATCGAAGAAATCATTAGCCAATTTGCAGTCTCTTGGGTCATTTAGACTCTCGTTAAGGAAGAGTAGTAGTATGAGAGAAAATGTTGCTGTTGCACCTGATTTTCTCGGCAATAGCAATTCGTATAATCTTAAGTCTCCAAGGAGGGTTTTCACTTTTTCCGAGCTTCAAATTGCCACCAAAAACTTCAGCAATGGTTCGTATTTTCTAGAATGCTACAGATTGATCTTTTCTTCTGCTTGCAAATTGATTATGGCATGACTTAGTAAGATGTTGATTTACTTTTGTGCAGAAAATCTTATTGGAAAGGGTGGTTATGCTGAAGTTTATAAGGGGAGTTTACCAAATGGGCAGCTTGTTGCAATCAAACGGCTAACAAAAGGCACACCTGATGAGATTATCGGGGATTTCTTGTCTGAGCTAGGGATTATGGCTCATGTGAACCATCCCAACACTGCTAAGTTAATTGGCTATGGAATTGAAGGTGGAATGCATCTTGTCCTTGAGTTGTCTCCGAATGGGAGCTTAGCTTCTCTTCTTTATGGTTAGTTCATGATTTCTGGAAATGCTTGATTATGAACATTGAACAACCATTTTTTATAATTGCCAGAATCCCAATCTCAATAACATATGTATTAATTCGTACAGGTTCAAAGGACAAACTGATATGGGACATCAGGTTTAAGATTGCTCTAGGAACAGCTGAAGGTTTAAGATATCTTCATGAGGGTTGTAAGAGGAGAATCATCCACAGAGATATCAAGGCTGCAAATATTTTGCTTACAAAGGACTTTGAGCCTCAGGTACCCTTCAAACCAGATTCTGAAATCTGAATAATCTGCTTTACCATTAAGTTCTATTTGTAATATTTACATTAGTAACAAAAGGCAACAAATTTGGTGACAGATTAGAGGAAAGTTGAAAAAAAATGTATATTTCTTCTTTTTTCTTTAACACAAAATTTGGTTTGCTTTCTTCTTCAATTAGTAATTACTTTTTGTTCAGATTTGTGACTTCGGGCTTGCAAAATGGCTACCAGAACACTGGACTCACCACACTATTTCCAAGTTTGAAGGCACATTTGGGTTAGTATACCTAATACTACCCTTCTTAGCAGTTATCAATTAGAGATTCTATAATTAAATTATTTGCCTTATTGCTTACTTTTGCAGCTACCTCGCTCCTGAGTACTTAATGCATGGCATAGTCGATGAAAAAACTGATGTTTTTGCATTTGGTGTACTGTTGCTTGAACTAGTCACTGGTCGCAGAGCTTTGGATTACTCTCAGCAGAGCCTTGTATTGTGGGTACGCTTCTTTTTTGTTTTCTACTCACTAAAACACAACATTATACTCAAGGACTCCCTTGTACGCACATACATTTAAGGAAAATGCCAGCAAAGTAAGTAGATGATAATCGAGGATTTGGAATTTTATGCTTTTCTAGGCAAAACCTTTGCTAAAGAAGAACGACATTAGAGAGCTGATTGATCCTGCCCTTGGGGAAGATTACATTTCTCGACAAATGAACCTTGTCCTCTTGGCTGCTTCTTTGTGCATACATCAATCTTCAATACGACGCCCTCAAATGAGTCAGGTATGTTGAGAAGTTCACAATCAGTTTGATATAGCAGCTTTGATAACTTTATTCAATTTTAACAGTTGCTTTTCATTATGTCATGCAGGTTGTACAGCTCCTTAATGGCAACCCCAATTGCTTAAAGAGCATGAGAAAATGTCGGATCCCGTTCTTCAGAAAAGCTTTCCATGAAGAGATTTTCAATGCAGAAGATCTAAGTTGTGCCCAGAGTTAGAGGATCTCGAATGGAACAAACAGGTTGCACAGGAATTCTAGTGTAAACTACTATCATCTACCTCTTTTGCCAATACCCTTTAGGAAGATGAAGGTTTGTGATCAATGGGGCTTCAATTTTGTTGCTAGCAGAAACAAGTTACATGCAAAAGGAGTAAGTTCAACGGGACAAAAGGATTGATGTTGTTTCACGTACGTAAAAGGGAATTTTAAAAAGAACAGAACAGGCGTGGAAGGAATTCCGAGGGGCAAAAGTAAAGAATGCCGGTGTTTTGGGACTTGGAAGACAGTGCATGTACGTAAGAGAATCCTAGGGAGCAAAAGTAAAAGAATATCCCATGGTTTAGTCAATTTTGTAGGATAGATATATGAAAGAGCCGTTGTCTTTTTCTTTTAAAGTAAGTTATGAAAAAGTCCTTACAAGAATCCTGAATCAATAGATTCGTTACCTCTGCTTCAGTTGCTGATCAGTGGTCAGGGCTTAAATCATCATGAAACAACAAAACGTTCATTTTATTTATCACGTTACGTTAGGTTTGGGTTTATAAATGAAGCTAATCCTGAAGATTAGATTGGTTACTAAAAACTAAATTACTTTCTAGATTAGATCATATTTCTACATAAAACCATGTCTTTAAGTTCAACCATTTTCAGCTAACATAGCAATTAAATAAATAGAATAATAAAAAACTTCGAAATTGTTGAATCTGTGTTTTGTCTTTTTCATTGTATTGGACCAAGTCCAAAGTAGAATTAGTTGGAATTTACCAATTTGCATCATGTTTCTCAAGGTGTTTGCGGTAGACAAACCAATTGTCATGATTTGTTTATTTTTGACCCAACCCTGGCGGCACGCAAACCTAATAGCCGCCGTAATCCGCCTATCCATTCCCTCCTTATCCTCATTATGATCTTATCATCGTATCATTCACAGGTAAGAAATTTTTTTTTTTCATTAGTTTCGCAAACTATTATAAATAAACAGCCAAACGGCCGCTTTTATAAAGATATAAATGCATGGGGCAGGTTTCTACTGTCCATCAAGAACAAATTCCACGACGAATGAAATCGTTTGTACATAAAAACTTTTTTATTTTCCTTTTGTAGTTTCATAGCCCAATCCAAATCAGCCTAGGCCAGGCCCTACTCCTTCAAGCCCAATGCGAAGACGAAAACTTACCCAAACAACAGTAAAACAACGCATGGCAACTGACATCACGGCACAAAAGCTCCACTGTTACCGCAAATCCAAAATTTAACCTCCAATTTCCTCCTTAATCTCAGGCATTTTTAACTTCAAAAAAATTAAAAAAAAAATTTACTACTTCCTTTTGCTTACACCTCAAACCATGGGCGGAGTCGTCTAACACCAACACGAAAATACAGGTAGAGTGAGAGAAAGTTTGGGGAGAAAGCGAAAGAAAGCGAGAGAAAAGGAGACTTCAGAGAAACAATTAAAATATATAAATAAATAAATAAAATTATGTGGAAGAGTAAAGATAAAAAAAAGAAGGAAAGCAAATTAGATAAATAGAGTATAGAGTCGAGAGGAAAGAGGAAAGAGGCTCTTTCCTTAAGTCAAGCCTTAAGCAAGCTAAAGTGGGCTAAATTGGAAAGGTTTTTTTAGTTTTGGTTTGTTGTGAGTGTTTTTAAGTAGCGATCGGAGAATCGGATGTTATATCCGATCGTCGGCGATCGGAGATGCTACTTGCCTGTGGTGATGGCTGTGAATGCGGAGGTAGGCCATTGTGATGGTTTTGGGGGTGGTGGTGGCGGCAGTGGCGGAGGAGGAGGAGGAGAAGAAGTTGGCTGTGGTGGTTGAGAGTAGTAGAACAACTAGGAGTGTTTTTACAGTTGGAGGATGAGGAAAGGAAAAGGAAGGAACAATGGCTTGTTGCCAAATTCGTTGAGGATAATATCGTCTTGTTTAAAGACTGTTTCCTCGAATGCTAGTAACGTCGCTTCCACGGTTCGCTCCGCTGGTGCTTCCGTTGCTGCTTCCATTTCCACTTCTTCTGAAGATCATAAGGATCAGGTTTACATTCAATTTCAGACTCAAACATTTACATTTGTTTTTAATTTTAATTTGCTTGGTACTTGAAAACTTTTAGGTTATTTTAGTAGAGTAGTCTAGTGTATGTATAGAGTGAGCGGCGATTTAGAGCTTAATTGCACTAAATATCTTTTTTTTTTTTTTTTTTGGGTACAAAGGAGGCCACATCTGGGGATAGAGGAATGGGTTGCATTGCTAGGATTTGAACTCAATATATCTTGTCTTGGTACTTAAATTAAGTAAGCTTAATTTTTAGAGTGCCTAAACTCTATTAGGTTAACTTATTTATGTTTCATTAATGCTATTACAATTTACAAGTATATGAAAACCATAATTAAAGAAAAATATATGAATTCTTTTGGCCTAAAAGTTCTTGCCCCAAATTTTATTATTATCAAATAGTGAGAGAAGACTTGGTCGGGATATGTTGCTGAGAAACATTTGGATATGCTAAATATTAAACAATTCGGATTTGGAGTCAAGCTAATCTGCTCTAACTATGTTTGTTAGCCCAAACCTTATATCTTTACTAACCTTAAAGCATTGATTATATTGATGTTGCTTTTACTTTGCATAATTTTCGTGGGGTGTTAGTTTGGAAGATCTTAAAGTTAAGACACCCATGCACCTCCTTCTTGTGAAATAAATTAGTGTAGATTGCTATGATGATATGTCACACCTGGAGAATTGATATCATAGAACTCACGTATGAATTTTCCTTTCACAATGTCTCATGTCTGGACTTTTGTGCTTTGTGAAGCATGAATATTTCTTCAGAAATTTTGTTAACAACACTGAACATGGAATGTGATAGGTTCCTTCGTGGAATGGTGCTTATTAGGTTTAAGCTTTAAATCGTTGATAAATAGTATTTACACAATGTTTCTTTGATCTGCTGTCCTTGCCTTAGTATAAATTGGGCAAATTCTAATTCAATGTCGTGATTCTGTTGATTTTTTTGGGGTGTTTCAGAATGCTTCTTAATGCATTTCTTCCTATTTTGAAACATGTTTGCTTAGGTGTGTTTCCGTAATTTGTTCTGTGAACAGGTAACATGGGCTGGCTTTGACAGGTTGGAACTCGGTCCATATCTCTTCAAGCATGTCCTCTTACTTGGTTACCAGAATGGATTTCAAGTCCTTGATGTGGAGGATGCCTCTAATTACAGTGAACTGGTTTCAAAGCGTGATGGTCCAGTTTCATTCTTACAGATGCAGCCTTGCCCTCTGAGTTCAGATGGACAAGAAGGGTTCAGGGCATCACATCCTATGCTATTGGTTGTTGCTGGTGATGACAGCAATAGTTCAAGCTTGGGTCAGAATGCTGGCCATTTGGCTGGGGTGGTTCGAGATTGCCGTATGGAGTCACAGTCAGGGAACTCTGTCAACTCGCCTACAGCAGTTCGATTTTACTCTCTTCGGTCTCACTGTTATGTGCATGTTTTGAGATTTCGGTCATCCGTGTGCATGATTAGATGCAGTTCCCGGATTGTAGCTGTAGGTCTTGCAACACAGGTAAGTGCTGGCTGATATAAATGGTACATTAATGTGCAAACATATGAAAATTCATTTTTCTTGTGGCTTTTGAAGTGCAGATTAAAGTACTCAGTGTTGATACTGCTTTATTCTATGATAAAGACTTATCAGTAGCATAAGTTTTTTCTTCTAATTTATATCTCTTTTCTTTCTAAGTTTTGTTGTAGTTGTGGTTATGGATGATCTCAGTCTGTAAGTGGTCTTAGTTTCATGTATTGCTTTAACTAGTGCTGCAAGTAATCTTTCACTCCAAAGGTAGTATGTTGATTCATCATCTTGATGTATACCAATCAAAGACAACGCAATTGTATGAAGATTGTGTACTCCCCTTTGTCTAAGTTTATTTATGGTGCTACAAATCTCATAATTAACTCTTCTTGTTTGGTTGCAGATATATTGTTTTGATGCCCTCACTCTCGAGAATAAGTTTAGTGTTCTCACCTATCCTGTTCCCCAGTTGGCGGGACAAGGGGCTGTCGGGGTTAATGTCGGCTATGGTCCAATGGCTGTGGGTCCAAGGTGGTTAGCATATGCTTCCAATAATCCACTTTTGTCTAACACTGGCCGCTTAAGCCCACAAAACCTTACCCCTTCTCCTGGTGTCAGTCCATCAACATCCCCTGGTGGAAGTAGTTTGGTTGCTCGTTATGCAATGGAGTCTAGTAAGCATTTGGCAACTGGGCTAATCAACTTGGGGGATATGGGATATCGGACCTTATCCAAGTGTTGTCAAGAGCTACTTCCTGATGGGTCAAATTCTCCTGTGTCACAAAATTCAGTTTGGAAAGTCGGAAGGCTAGCAGGAACTGATATGGACAATGCAGGAATGGTTAGTTTTATGCTTTTGTGTAGAGTAAATGTCTTTTATTTTGATTAAATTTTTTTTTCTTTTTGTCTATATTTCAGGATAAAAATTTATATTTTTTAAAATTGAGGTTGTATGTGTTATTTTTTGATAATGTTCTGAAGAACTGATGTTTGCAGCATAATAATATGAGGAGGTGTACTTCCCAACTATTCCAAAACTCATTTAAATATTCCAATTAGATTCCTCTAATGCTTTTATTTATAAGCAGACGAGCAGGATAAATAATTTAATTTCAATCAACTCTTAAACAAATGTTATGATCTCTGAACAAATAGAATTTAATTTAATTTAATGAAGGTATGGACTCTGTGCAAAGAGAACGAGATGATCTTTTTTTTTTTTTTCCAATCTTGTTTCGGAATATCCTAATAACTAACACTTCTTAGGGTTTAAATATTGATTTTGTAGGTTGTCGTAAAGGATTTTGTTTCTCGAGATGTTATATCACAATTTAAAGCCCATACGAGCCCCATCTCTGCATTGAATTTTGACCCTAGTGGGACCCTTCTGGTTACTGCATCAGTATATGGAAATAACATAAACATCTTCAGGATTATGCCATCATATGTGCGCTCTGGGTCAGGTGTTCAAAGTTATGACTCAACCTCTTCTCATGTGCATCTTTACAAGCTACATCGCGGAATAACATCAGCTGTTAGTATAATTTTAGTTTCAAGATATATCTTAATTTTCTATTTTCTTCTTACAGATTGGATATATATATTATTGTATTTTTACATGTTAATTTGACAGATGATTCAAGATATTTGCTTTAGTCACTATAGTCAGTGGGTTGCGATTGTTTCATCCAAGGGAACTTGCCATATTTTTGTCTTATCCCCTTTTGGAGGTGATGCAGGATTTCAAACACATAGTTCTCAGGGTGAAGAGCCTTCCCTATTTCCAGTTTTATCCCTGCCATGGTGGTCTACCTCATCTTGTGTCATTAATCAGCAATCTTTCCCACCTCCACTACCCGTTGCCCTTTCTGTTGTCAGCAGGATAAAATACAGTAGTTTTGGATGGCTTAATACGGTAAGTAATGCTGCTGCTTCTGCAACAGGAAAGGTTTTTGTGCCATCTGGTGCTGTTGCTGCTGTTTTTCATAATTCTATATCACTCAGTCCTCAGCACGTTGAACCAAGAACAAATTCCTTGGAACATCTTCTAGTTTATACTCCATCAGGTCATGTAGTTCAACATGAGCTTCTGCCATCAATTGGGGCAGATTCAGGTGCTAATAATTCAAGATTTCAGACAGGTTCATATACACAAGTACAAGAGGATGACTTGAGGGTGAAAGTTGAACCTGTTCAGTGGTGGGATGTATGTAGGAGGTCAGATTGGCCAGAAAGAGAGGAATGTACTTCTCAGGCTACCCTCGAGAGACAAGATGTTGCTGAAGTTCTTCAAACTAAATCAGATTGTGAGGGATACAGAATTGATTTTCCGGAAATTAATGATAGTGTCAGTGGAGAAAAGACTTCAAAACTTTTTCCTACAAAGCCCCATGAGAGCTTCCACTGGTACCTCTCTAATGCAGAGGTGCAAGCAAACTCCTGGAGGTTACCAATATGGCAAAAGTCTAAGGTATAGTTCATGTTCTTAAAGTTCTCTTACTCATAATTTTGTGCCATAGCTCAGTTGAGATTTATTTTTCTTATGATTACAGATTTCTTTCTACATGATGGATTGTCCAAGAGCAAATAGTTGTAAAGGTGGTGAGTTTGAAATTGAGCAGGTCCCAGTTCATGAAGTTGAAATCAAACGCAAGGAATTATTACCCGTTTTTGATCATTTCCATCATATGAAATCAAGCTGGAATGACAGGTGATCACTCTTTCATTCTTACTTTTTTTGCAGCTTTTCTACCTATATTTTGAACTATGGAATTTGATGTTGATATCTGTCTTTGCTTGAAATTTCTGGTTGTTATTGATTGGGCCTGGTGAAATGTTTTATTCTGGCTGATAATTCATGGAAAATGCCCCTGAAATGGGTTGATGTTGCTGAATTTGTCTGGAAGTTTCTCATTCTCATAGCACATGAGGCTTTTTTTTTTTTTTTTGCCACAAAGCACATGTGAAGCTTAGTTCGCACAAAGAATGTGTTTAGGTCTAACTTTTATTGTTCTTTATTGTTGCTGATGTTTTCTTTATAGTGTAGTCTTAAGAACTATCCAAGGATTTAATAAGATTTTCGCGGTTTGCCACAAATTTAATTAAGAGTGTTTCTGTGGGTGGGTGTGTGTGTGGTCTTCTAAACAAACAATAGAGTTCCCCAATGATTTTATGGTCTTGATTTCTCACCATTGGCACTTGAAAACAGAAGATATAAGATAACATGACCTCTTTCTCCCTCAATTATAATGCACTCGCATAAACTAATCAGGAGGGAAAGGGTGTGTTTGGCTGTGGTTGAAGAAAGGTAGTTTGTTCGATGAATACAGAATATGCTAACATCGTGGAAAATTTTCTTGTATAAAATGTTGGACATAAACATGTATTTGATTGCAAAAAAAAAAAAATGTTTCTGGTAAAATTTTCTGTTAATTTTAAGGATTTAAGTGCCATACTTGTAGGAATTCTATGTTTCCAACAAGTTTCATATGCGTATATGTCAGGGTGAAGTGAAGAATCCCTGCAACACAAATGTGTGTTCATGTGCATGTTTGTTTACTATGGTTGTGTTTAAAATCTACTTAGCACCAGCCTTGGTTGTTCCATATAGGTGTTTTGCTGCGGGAAAATATCCTCTGTCCTTGTCTCCAGATCCTCATCAAGGTGAATATAGAGCCTCACAAGAGACTATTATCTGTCATTCAATGCCAGCGTCACTTAGCTCCACTGAAAGTTCTGAAGGAGGTAAGCCTATGTGATTGCTGGAAAGCAGTTTTTGTTTTGGTTTTCAAAATGTCTTGCCTATAAAATTTCATCATTTGATGATTTCAATTCCTGTTAGGTTCATCAAGGAGACTGGAGAATCTACTTGATTTGGATCAAATTAACTGTGAGAAGTCTTATACACCCATTTACCAGTGTCTGAATGAAATTTGCCTGGGAAAAAGTGGGAATGGCATCATTGAGCCATTGGTGCTGAATCAGGAGTCTTTGACCATTGTATCTTCTGCATTTGAGCAGTCAGAGAATATATATTTCGATACTGGTCACTCTGCGACAAACGGTTTTTCCTCTTTCGAGAGTAAGTTGCCTCCGTTAAGAAGTAAGGCTGAAGGAACACCAGCTATCAATGCTGTTGGTATTGGTGATGCCTTAATGTTGCATGTAGACCATTATGATGCGTCTACAAACATTCTTGCAGATGGGTCGTCATTTTCTACGCAACAGAATCAGGTTGATTTTGAGCATTTCCAGGAAGGGCAATATGAAATCTTACAGCACAATGAATGCGGCAATTTGACTGAACTTGGGAATGATGATGTCGATGGCAGCAGCAACCACTGTGGTAAGGAAAAGCTACAGGAGGATGGGGAAAATGATGAAATGCTTGGTGGCATATTTGTGTTCTCTGAAGAAGGTTGAAACTTGAAGCTATACGGTACCATTTCCTCGCTAACAATGTCATTTTTCTACCTTTCTAAAATTAATTCACATGGCTTTACATTGGTTGGATTTCTTTTGGCAGGTTGAGCCGGATTCATCACTCATGGTATTTGTTCAAGCTGCAATACAAAGCTCGGTTCAAAGTTATCTAGACAGTTAGCGAAGGTATCTTTTTGGTATCCAAATTGCATTTCAGGTTGTAAATAAGAGGACGTACTGATGGTATGGTATTGTTTCCGAGTAATGCTCAAAAGTGTTGCAAGAGCATGCTTCATCTCTCCCCATCTCTTTTGTATATTTTATAGATGGCAATTCGTAAAAAAATCATGGAGAGTTTTGGATTTAGGACAAGGGTTTAACTCAAATCAAAACTCTTGGTGGTGCTACATTTGGGTTCACATTCCTTGTCTTGATGATATCAAACTTTTTCTGTACAGAAATTGTGTGAAGTTCATGTCCCAAGCTGTATAACAATATTGTTTTTCTGGTGATGACAAAAAAAAAAAAAAAGAAGAAAAATCAAATGAAAGGAGGAAAAAATTAAATGACTTTCTGTTTATAAATTCTTCACCCTCTCCTTGTTCTTTGGCTGTGCAATGAAAAAAAAAAAAAAAAGAACCATGTAGGATAACACATGCTTGATAATAATATTTCTAATATGATTAATATGAATGAGAAGATAAAAGTATTTATAACTCATATTATTTACTAATACATAAAGATTGTAAATGATTTTAAAATATGTTGCTATTAGCATATGGTAAGATAAAATATCAAAACAAGATAAATATTTTTTAAAAAATTAAAAATCATTTAAATGAAAAAAAAAATTGTTCCACACAAATAAGTTTTTAGGTCATAAAATCAAAGGCAGAGATGTTACATTCATTTTGTAATAATTTTAAAAATTTTATATATTTTTAATAAATATATTTTAATACAATAATAAGTAATAATTTTAAATCTATTGCTTTTAATTTTTAATGCTCTATAAAACACATTTTCTTTTTGTAACATGTAATTTTAAATTTTAAAAGAAACAGACAAAAGTTAAGTGAAGCGGGCTTGAATTACAACAAATGTTTCCGTTTTTAGAGAATCCCAGCTTGAAACCATGCAGTTCAGAGAAGATTAACTCGTGCTGAAGAGGCCATTGCTGGACTTAAAAGAATCAGAGACTGGACTTCACCGCAAGGTAGATATTAATTCTTGAATGCTGTACCCTGGAATCTGTGTATTTGTCTATATGTATAACATGTCCATTGAGCTTGACAGTCTTTACAGGAACTAATTGACTTGTCACAGAAACATTACACTGAAGTTGCTCTTTCAAAACTTGTAATGCTGAGTGTTATTTCCTCATTGTAGTAATTCCTGATTCTAGCTAGTACTTACTATGCATTTATTAACAGGTTGCAGATTTGGTTCTTTGGAACTCTCACCATTTGATGGGGGGACTCTTAACTGATTTCATGCATACAAATACTACAGGTTCTTTGGGACATGTTGTAAGTGCCATACACTGGTATCTTTTGATTCTTAGATGCTTGCCTTGTACAACATCTTTATCTAGCTTGAAAAGGAATGCTTTAACGTTATTTCTTATTGTTGCCAAAGCTCTGCCAGTTTTCTACTCTCTATTTGTAACGAGTTCACTAATTTTATTAGTTTTCTGAGCAGGTTTAACGTGTATGTATTTGCTATAAACGTATAATATATTCACAGACTTTGCATCGTAGAGAATGTGAATTGACTACTCTGAACTTGGGTAATTGACAAACAAATATTAACTGTTCTGTCAGTAAATCGTAAGCTCTTATGGTATATACATTTATTGACATGGTCCCCCCCCCCCCCGGTAGGCTAGCTACAGTCACAATCACTGTACGATGAACAAGTGGTCAAGTTCCTACGATACAGACCATACATTGAGAGAATTTAAGACCAAATGACAAAATTCAAGAAAACACCCATATTTTAATCTCTCGATGGAACCGGTCATATTGATAGATTTTGATATTTGATTTTGAAAGTCAATTAAAATTACATATATTTCATTGGTTATATTATTTGAATTCGAGAATAAATATTAAATATAGATACTTATTCAATTAAGATATACTTAATTTTTTTAAAAATTTTTTCATATATTTAAATTATTTAATTTCAAATTTACGTATACCACACATGCATACACACATAATATATATATATATATATATATATATATAAAGCACATATAGTTCAACGAAAATAAAAAATTCAAACAATTAATATAATTTATTTAAAATTTTATCAAATATAACAAAATTAAAATAGTCTCAAAAATGTAAATAGGTAAGTGTAGTAAATTAGAAAGAAAAATAATACGTTTGGTAAAAAACTTTAAATCATGTTGAAAAAGTTAAAAAATTAATTTTTTTTTTTTAACTTACATGAATGTAATTTATATATTTATGATAAATTTATCGCGTTTCATTTACCAAAATGGGCCTTCAGAGATTATCAGCCCCAGAATCGTTGGAGTGATGAGCTAATGAGATTGTTGGAACAAGACAAACATGTCTGTTCCAGAGTAAAGCTTGTATCTTCTTAACAATACGCATGGCACCAGAAGGACACAAAATCAAATCGAATTGGTGTTAACAAGCGAAGCAGGATCATGTTAGACACACTCTTTCAGTTTTTTTTCCTTTTGGTTTCTCTTCTTTTCCCCCAAACACTGTTTGCCAAAAAAACATCTTTTTTTTTTTAAATTTCTAGTTTGATTTTTCGGATAGCCTCATAAATAATTGCTAAATAACAGTTATCCGTCTCCGCTATCTTAGACAAACTTTATTTTACGGACATGACATGTTGACATCAATGTCTTATAATTTAGGCAGTGTACTCTTGTACAAACACTACAAAGTAAAATTTCAAGGCTCAAAAGCTACCAAGTTTAACCATCCTTTTCTTTTCTTCTCTTCCCAAATCCAATTTCTTCTCTCATGGCTGTCAAGAACAATGTCCTAGTCTGCACGCCATTGGAATGTGAGACCTTGGAAGAAATGATGGCTTCCATGGAAAAGGCAAAGGAAGAAGGTGCAGATCCTGTGGAACTTTGCATTGCGTCCATGGCGTGCTCTCATATTTCTGATGTTGACAAACTTATTAAGCAAAGAACTCTTCCTGCTATAGTCTCCTTCAGGTAAATCCCCTCTATACCTGTCCAATACAATCCCTCTTGATCACCATTTCTCCATGGATGAAGTTTGTAACTTCATTACCACACCTAAAAATAAATAAATAAATAAATAAAACCACAATGATATATTTTTGGACGATGATGTCCCTCTTTGCTCCTACATATATGCAACTATTTTACCAAATCTTTCCCTTTTCCCTGGAAATACGTTTTGTTTTTATGTACTGTCAATATTTTACTCAACATACTCATTGTTAGGGTTTTGTTAAAAAAAAAGAAAAAGAAAAAGAAAAGAAAGGGTGATTTTCTAAATTTGGTAGTACTCTCTATTAGTATTATTGTTTTCTTTTTCTTTTACTCAAAGCCATTACTAATAAGTCAAGGGTATTAACTTAGGCTTGGTTTAATGCTACTATGTCACCTCTGATAAGGTGCAGTTAGTAATAAAAAGCCATAAAAATTACATTTGAAATTCAATTGTCTAGACAATGAGATTACTTCTATAACATTGAACCCCCATTTTTCCATTGGAGTTTTGAGGTTCGGTGAAAATTTATTTTCACCGCAGCTATATTTTCTAATATTACCTACTTTTTTAATCCTTAGTATATTGTGCACTAAGTTTTTTTTTTTTTTTCATTTTTATTTAAAAATTTTTATTAAGTTAATATAATAAATAAATTTATTTATAATAAATTAATAAATAAATATTTTCATAATTAAATAATTAATTAAAATAAATAACTATATAAATAATAAAGTAGATACATATTATTATATTCAAATTTTAAACAAGTTTATTACATTAAAATTTTAATTTAATGTCTTTAATGTTTATTTTTTTAATATCAATTATTTTACTGCTATCATTATTTTTACATCCAAACATATATTTTACTATTAATTTTAATTTTAATATTACAACTATTAATTTCACATTCACCATTATTTTTTATTTCACCATAATCATTCTCATCACTCGTTTAAATAGGTTACAACATAAAAAATTCTCTTCCTTTTTATCTTTATCTTCGTAAACAAAAATCAATATGAATTTTATTTAAAAAAATCAATATGAATTCTTTTTATTCTTTACCAAAAAAGAGTACCACGCAAATTTTGAAATCTTTATTATATTATGCTTATCTTTATCAATTGAGTTAAAATGACATAATTTCTTTGATAAAATTATTTTATTAATATTTAAAAAGATTAAAATTTTTTATCTAAATTTTCACGAGATGGAGACTTGATCATTAATATTTATAATATTTTTATTTTTATTTTTAGATTTCAATTTTCTTTAGTAAAAAAATTAAAATTTCATATGAACCGAAAGGTGAGAGAGAAAGCAAATTAAGGAGCCCCACACGTCCAAAATTAATTGAATGACTACAATCAAGAGGGAGTATTCATAGTACAACATTAAATTACCACGTGCAGGTAAGTTTGCAACCATTTTGTCTTATGTTGATGATATTGTCACACCTCGTGTGAGCTCTATCAAGGCCAAGGTCCAAGCACCAACATTAGAAAGCTAGACGCTTGCTCAAGCATTAGGTCGAGAAAATAAGTCCCTACAACAATTTCTTGCTATTGAGCTTAAAGATCTTGTGAGATAAGCTTCTAGAAAGCCTCGGAATGGTGGTACGGGCATTTCATATGTGAAGACTCTAGATAAACTTAGATCCCAGCCAATGGTGAAGGCATAGAACATTCTGAAAGTGTTAGATGCGCAAATAAGCAAAAGTATTATAGCACTCAAACAAGAAAGCCTCTAGAAGGCCTTGGGCATGGACACTCTGCAAGGAAGCCTAGAATCTTCTAGACCCAGTGCATCATAGAGTACTTGAAACCAATTCCCTTCTAGAGACTTTCCAATCGACCTTATATGTAGTTAGAGATTTTGGAACCCTTTAGAATGTATATAAGAGCCAAACTTGGCTCTTTAGTGACCACATAAGTCATAGGAGCTTATGTATAAATGGGGGTGCTCTTTCCTTTTAGGAATATATATGAAAGCTAGTGAATTTGAAAGCCACCCAAACTACTTAAACACAATTATACAAAAGCCACATTTTTCTAGCAATAAAGGATCTTGTATTCTTTCACCAAGTAGCTTTTTAGTGTGCACACCCATTTAACTCTATTAGAGGCTGACTTAGGCATACTTGAATGGTAGTTTACCTCCTAAGGCGTATGATTGCTAGGCTTAAAACTGAAGCTTGTGACAGTTGGTATCAGAATACGGTTAGTGTGTGTTTGATCCAAGACAATGTCTACTTCAAAGGTAAGCCACCAGTACGCTGAGGGGCAAGAGTCTCGCGAGACACGCACTACTGGAAAGAGCAAGAAAGGTGACATGATGTTGGCCTTTGATGCTCGATTGGCCAAGGTGGAGTTGGTCATTGCTGAAATGTAAGACAAATATGAAGACCAAATGAAAGAATTGCTCTCAAACAAAAGGGAGATCACAAAAAAGTTAAAGCAAACTCTTTTGGAAATATCGAAAGCTTTACCCATAAGAACTCCACCCTAAAGGCCTTGGTGGAGGCCATGAGAGAGGAGATGAAGCAGCTCAAAAGGAGGTTTTCTGCGTGTGAGTCAGCTATAGGGGGAGGTATACTTGCAATAACTTTTAGGACAAGGGTGAAGGTTCCCAAGCTAAAGGAGTTCAAGGGAACATAGTCTGTAAAAGATGTAGATAACTTTTTATAAGGCATGGAATAATATTTCCATGTAATGGGCATCAAAGAGGACGCTACTAAGGTAAGCACCACCTCTATGTATCTTGTAGATATTACTTTCCTATGGTGGCATCGCAGGTTCGAAGAGGTTAAGCATGGTGGTGCTGTCATTGAAACATAGAAAGAGTTCCAAAGGGAGTTTAGGCAGTAATTTTACCTATAATACACCGTGGAAAATGCATGCACCAAGCTACGATGACTCACCTAATGTGGAGAGGTGCAGGAATATGTTCGAGAGTTTTTCGAACTCATGCTCTAAATTCCCAAACTTAGGGAGGACAAGGCACTTTTCACATTCATGGATGGGCTTAAGCCATAGGCTAAGCAAGAGCTAAGGAGAATTGGTGTTCAAGACTTCACCCGAACCATGACCGTCACTAAATCCTTAATGAAATTAAAAAAAAAAAGACAAGTTTGAGTCTTTCAAGCCCAAGGGCAAGGGCAAAGGTAGGGGACACAAGGACAAGAGTAATGATGGCAATGCCTCAACACATAAATAGAAGTCCACTAAGGAGGGGGATAAAAATAAAGCTAAATGGCTAGAGACCAAACCCATGACCTATTTCCTATGTGACAGTCCACATCGAGCCAAGGACTATCCCAATAGAGCCAAGCTTATGACCATTGTTAAGGGGTATAAAGAGCAACCCAAAAAAAGAAGGAATGAAGCTTGGTTCAATCATTCTAAGTTCTGTCTTAGCAAAGAAGAGGCGTAAGAGAAAAAGGCTTATGTTCTTTGAGGTCTCAATTATAGGTAAGCACTTGAACGCTCTAGTAGACATAGGTGCATCAGACCTTTTTATGTTTGAAGGAGTGGCCAAAAGACTAGGGCTCAAGGTTGAGAAAGAAACTGGATGGATTAAGACTGTCAACTCCAAAGAGGTTTCGATTATAGGCATGGCACAAAGAGTCGAGTTACAGCTTGAAGTGTGGAAAAACAAGAAATCCATCGAGGTAATCCCTCTCGATGACTATGATTTTGTTATTAGTTTAAATTTCCTTGATAAGAATCAATGCACTTCTTGTTCCCTTTGTCAACTGCATTTGTATCTTGGACCGATGGTGTCAATGTATAGTCTTGGTGAAACATAAGTAAGAGACTAGAACCAAGGCATTATCTGTTATCCAGCTCACTGAGGGTGTATGAAAGGAAGAGCCCACCTTCTTAGTGGCACTAAAAAAGGATAAGCTTTAAAGGCCAAATGACAACACCCCTTTAGAGGTGTTAGAGGTGTTGACATCCTTCAAGTATGTCATGCCCTAGAATTACCTAAGAGACTACCACCCAAGAGAGAGGTAGACCACAATATTGAGCTGTGCCTGACGTCAAGCCACCAGCCAGAGCCTCGTATAAAATGTCACTCTTAGAGCTACAGGAACAAATGAGATAACTTAAAAAGTTTCTAGATGCGGGGTTCATCAGACCCTCTAAAGCTTCATATGATGCATCAGTTCTATTTCAGTGAAAGCATGATGGATCCCTACGGATGTGCATCGACTATCAGGCATTAAACAAACTTACAGTGAAGAATAAGTATCCCATTTCCTTTATCACTGACTTGTTCAATCAGCTGAAAGGAGCACGATGGCTCACCAAGCTAGATCTAAGATTGGGATACTATTAAGTAAAGATAACCGAAAGGGTTGAGCCAAAAATGGCATGTGTGACTTGCTATAGGGCGTACGAGTTCCTAGTCATGCCTTTCGACTTTACGAATATGCCCATGACATTTTGTACCTTAATGAATAAGGTACTATAACCTTTCATTGACCAATTTATTATAGTATACCTTGATGATATTGTTGTCTATAACCGTACACTTAAAGAGTATATGGATCGCTTGTGACAAGTATTCTAAGTATTAAAGGAGAATGAACTATACGTAAAAAAAGAGAAATGTTCATTCGCCTAGCATGATATCTCATTCTTAGGCTATATTATAGGGAATGGTCAAATCCGGATGAATGGTGACAAGGTCTGGGCCATCCAAGAGTGCAAGCTGCCAACCAAGGTTATAGAATTACAATCATTCTTTGGCATGGCGAGCTATTATCGACACTTCATAAAGGGGTACTTGGCCATTACAACACCTTTGATTGATATGTTCAAGAAGGGATGAGTTTAGGAGTGGAGTCTCAAGAACCAAGAGGCCTTTGATCGTTCGAAGTAAGCTGTCATCAAAGGGCTAGTCCTAGCTCTTCCTGACTACACCAAGCCATTTGATGTACACACTAATGCATTTGACTTTACTATTGGTGGTGTGTTAATGCAGGACCAACACCTTATTGCTTTTGAGAACAAAAAGCTCAATGATACTAAGCGTTGATATACGATAAAAAAAAAAAGATGGCTATCATGGTGCAGTGCTTGCATACATGAAGGCATTAGTTGTTGGAAAGTAAGTTTGTAGTTATGACCTACAATGTGGTGACTAGCTACTTTCAAAGTTAGAAGAAGCTTACTCTCAAACAAGCACGTTAGTAAGACTTTCTAGCTAAATTTGATTTTTCTATGGAATATAAGCTAAGAAGGGCCAACATTGTGGTTGATGCACTTAGCCGCAAAGTCGAATTAGCAGTTATTAGTAGGCAAAAGGTTTCTTGGTGGCATGTATCAAAGAAGGGCTGACCCAAGACTCCACAACCAAAACCTTGACTGAGTATGCAAAACAAGGAAAAACTAGACGATTTTGGCTTGAAGATGATCTACTCTACACCAAGGGGAACCAACTCTTTGTTCCACAGTTTGGCAAGCTACAAAAAAAAGTCATGAAAGAGTGTCATGACTCACAATGGGTAGGCTAAGTGTGCATCGCACTTTAATCTTTGTTGAGAATTGATATTATTGGCCTAGGATGAGAGATGATGTGGAGGCTTATGTCAAAACTTGTCTTGTGTGCCAACAAGACAAGATAAAAGCAAAATCACCAGTTGACCTTTTAGAACCACTGTTGGTTCTTGAACGCCCATGGAAGAGTATCTCTATGGATTTCAAAGTCGATCTACCTAAGGTGGATGGATATGGCAGTATCTTTATAGTGGTGGACTGGTTTTTCAAGTATGAAACATTCATTCCGACAACTAAGGAATGTCCAACGGAGGAAACGACCTGATTGTTCCTCGAGAATGTGGTTAAATACAAGGTATTCCTCAATCCATCATCTGTGATCGAGATAGGTGATTTACGGGTAAGTTTTGGAGTGAACTATTTAATTTTTTAGGGTCGAATTTGAGGTTCTCCACTACTGTATACCTTTAGACGGATGGGCAAATCGAGAGGGTGAATATCTTATTAGAGGTATATCTCCAGCACTACGTTAATGCCTTACAATGAGACTAACCTAAGCTGTTGGATGTAGCTCAGTTCTCATACAACCTTAGCGAAGCAAGGCTACAAATCAAAGTCCCTTTGAGATTATGACCAAGCACCAGTAATGTACACCTAGTGTTATTACCTCAGGGTACACGAGACTGAATCTAGCAGCGTACAAATTTGCCAAGGCATGGCAAAAATAAACTGATTTAACCCGAGTGTGTCTATACAATGTAGCAAAATGATCAAAGAAATAGGTAATCAAAAGCGACAGGATGTACAGTATCAAGTAGATGACTTAATACTAGTCAAGCTACATCTGGTGTTATGGAATCCAAGGATGCATAAGAGGCTTACTCATAGGTACGAAGGTCTTTTTAGAGTTTTAAAGCAAGTAGACAAGGTTACATATAAGCTTAAGCTTCCCACAAAGCTCAAGATACATCCGATCTTTCATGTAAGTATACTCAAACCTTACCATGAAGACTTAGATGATCTCACTCGAGGCCAATCGAAAAGAGCACCAGTGGGCATTAAGCCCTCATATGATAAGGAGATTGAGTGCATCCTAGTAGACCACGTGGTGTAACAGAAGTAGCACGTGCCTTAGGCATGAGTACTTATAAAATAAAAAGGTCAGTCGGATAGTGAGATAAGTTGGGAGCTAGTTGAGGCATTGTGGCAATTTCAAGACTAGACGATAGGTTTCGCGAAGCAGACGTGATGAGGGCATCGACGAAACATGTGAGGATGAATGTCACACCCTACGTGAGTTCCATCAAGGCTAAAGCTTGAGCACCAACACTAGAAAGTCAGACCCTCGCTCAAGCACCGAGCCAAGAAAACAAGTCCCTGCAACAGTTGTCCTCTGCTGAGCGTAAGGACCTTAGCTTCTAGAAAGCCCCAAAATGGTGGTGCGGGCATTCCATATGTTAAGGCTTTAGATAAACCTAGGTCCAGGCTAATGATGCAGGCATAGAATCCTCTGGAAGTTCCAGATGTGCAAATGGACAAAAGCACTGTAGCGGCCCAGACAATGAAGCTTCTAGAAGGCCCTGAGCATGGGCACTCTATAAGGAAGCCTAGAACCTTTTAGACTTAATGCACCATAGAGTGTCTAAAACCACCCTTCTAGAGACTCCCCAACTGACCTTGTATGTGATTAGGGACCTTGAAACCTTTTAAAATGTATATAAGAGCCACACACTTGGCTTCCTAGTGACCACATAAGCCATGGGGGCTTATGTATAAATAGGGGTGCCCCATCCCCTTGAGAATATATTGTAAGCCACCCAAGCTACTTAAACACAATTGTACAAAAGTCATATTTTTTCAATAATAAAGAATCTTATATTCTTTCACCAAGTGCCTTCTTAGTGTGCACACCCACTCAACTCTGATAGAGGTCGACTTACGCATACTTGAATGGCAATTTTTGGTCTAAGGTCGCACGATTACTAGGATTAAATGAAAAAAAAAAAAAGTTTGATTTCTTCTAACTCATGAAAAAAGCAAATTTATTTTATTATCTTTTTAGATCCTATTTGTTGCATAAAATTATACATACAAAACTAAATTGATCAATAATCACATTATTTATATATTAATAAAATATTAAACTCTTTAATAATTAAAATTCAAATTTTACACCCTCAAACAAAAAAATTTTGAGAATATATGTGATGAGAGAGATATTTACAACACCACTATTCGCAAGTAAGAGAATATAGGTAATCAATGTGGACGAGAGTCGGAAGTTTGGTGGTATATTTTGTTAAAGGAGCACGTGAAGTTCTGAAGGACTGATTAAGATGCATGCAGGCAGGAGCGAGGCAGTGGAATAGTTATGGTTGTCCCCCCAAAGGGAAGTGGGTGTGGGTGGAGAGTCGAGACTTTCTTATCAGTTATCAGCGACCAGTCCAGTAAATACTCTGAAGAATTAATACCCTCTTGTCTCTCAGGATGTTGCCAACGTTAGAAGGACAGTAGGACTTTGAAACCTCAAATTCGATAGAGAAAGAGTCCAACCCCAACAGGCGTCCCAGTACATTAACTTTTGTTGTTCTTTCCAAGGACAGATTCAAAATCCTACATTCAGCCCAATTACAACCTATAATCCGATATTAATTCTCCAAATTTATTTTTTTTATGAAAGCCCACGCCTTATCACTACAAAAGGAATTCAGTATTTTGATTAACAACATAGAGTATTAGTATTTTTCAAGTTGAATTATACCCGAAAGTTAACAATCTAAAGAGTCAAATAATTATTTGATGCAGGTTCCTGTTGATTTTTCCATATAGAAACTGAAATATAATTTAGTATCCATGCAAATTTAAATGGTTAAAATAGTCCTATGCAAGGCATTGAACATTGACGAATGCAAATTTTGCCATTTTAATTACAGGCTCAAATCATCCCGGACCTTGAGCAATGGAGGTTGCTATAATACTTGCTTGAAAGTTTTGAAAAGGGCGTTAGAGCTAGATGTTGAATTCGTCGAAATGGACTATGAGGTACTCATAAAATTCATTTTCATATTGGTTGTTTTGCTGCTCAGGTAAAGGCTGCATTAGAGTATTTTTTTTTTCCTCAGTATAGATAACATTGTTTCTTCTGTCCCCATTTAATCTCAATAACGTCAGATACTTTTTGCATTTTGTAATCAGCAGACATCAAGGCTTTAGGCAATTGGAATTATGCATACATGTTCTAGTTGAACAAGAAAGTATTAATTCGATGCAATTTACTGGCTGAATTGAAATTTTTCTAGGTAGCCTCCGATGCCAATATGACTGAGTACTTGTACAACCGTTCGAATAGCAGAATAATCGTATCCAGCTATGTGAATGGTTGGAAACCTTCAACAGAGAAGCTTGCTGATTTAATTGCACGTATGCAGGCCACTGGGGCTGATGTGATCAAACTTGATATCTGTGTTGATTATATCACAGATCTAGCACCAGTTTTTACAATTCTCACCCACTCTCAGGTGCTTTCTTCAGAGAAAAGCATTAAATTGCAATATGGTTTGCTAGAATAAGAAATTTCTCTCTTGAATGGAGTATAAAATCTATGTATCTTTTTGTCAGGTGCAATTAATTGCTATGGCAGCTGGCAGCAGAGATCTGATAAGCCAACTGTTGGGACCAAAATTTGGTGGTTTTTTAGTATATGGATCTCTTGGAGGAAAATCAATCCCCGGATTGCCCTCTCTTCTCAGCCTTAGACAAGTTTACAAAATAGAATATATGAATGCCGATACAAAAGTTTTCGGTCTCATTTCGAATCCAGTTGCTCATAGTAAAGGCCCTATTCTTCACAATCCCACCTTCAGATATACGGGATATAATGGAATTTATGTTCCTATGCTTGTTGATGATATTAAGGAATTCTTTGAAACCTATACAGGCTCTGACTTTGCAGGTTTCAGGTATATACAAATATAACCATTCCAAGGGAAAGATGAAATATCACATTTTTCCAAAATAATTGTTTGCCATTTAACTTATGTTTCCCTTTCATTCTTTCTTTTGGGAAGTTCAGATACTTTCTATAAGACTAATATCTGGTTGCTGTTAGGTATTTGGTCTTTAAATGAACCAAACATAGAGACTCTGCTCTTCTGAATTTGGATATAAGGCTTGGTGAAGTTGGAATAGTACTGCTAAGCACAGTCCTTATTATATATCCTATGATTAGCGTTAGCACAACTCTGTATGATATAAACAACATTTTCTAAACCATGGTTTTTGTCCTTCGTGATTCTTGAACTTTGCAGTGTTGGAATTCCACATAAGGAAGCAGCAGTCACATGCTGTGATGAGGTCCATCCGCTGGCAAAGGTCTGAAGACATTACATTTTTGTATTGGCTTTAGATTTTTGGTAAATGAATCAGTAAAAATTCACCTTTGTGTAGGATCATGAATATGCAAGTGATCAGGTCTTGGCTGTAGTAGCTCTAACTGGATTAGTTCTTTGGACCAAACTCTAGTGAAAAAATTTGATCTTGGGTTAGGTTTGGTGTTGTTTTCAGGCATCCACCGCTGTCTACCCTTGCCATCAAGCCCTGCCCTTGACACAAGGGAGGGTGATAAAATTTTGTACTAAACCTGTAATGAAGATCCAAATATTTATAACTAAGTGAAGGGAGAGGTGAAGTTAATAAACAGGCTATTGCCTTTATGCCAATTCCCAATGGAGATGCATCCAATGAATAACATGTAGGAACTTCAGTTTATTGGAGATATATTAGTTAAAATTCTATATTGATTTTGCTGTTTTATATATATATATATATATATATATATCTATAAAAGCCTCTGACCACCATGCATGTGACATTCTTTGTCAATCATATATATATATATATATATATATATATATATATATATATAAAAGCTTCTGACCACCATGCATGTGACATTCTTTGTCAATCAGTCCATAGGAGCAGTAAACACTATAGTAAGGAGGCCCATGGATGGGAAGCTGATTGGTTATAACACAGATTGTGAAGCTTCTATCTCTGCTATAGAGGATGCACTAAGAGGTAATATATTTTCTTTGCTTTTTGAAGATTGGCTCCTGAGCTTCGGGGATAGTCAATCAGTGAGAATTTTGGAACATTTAGTTTGTTTCTATAAATATTATTCTATAGTGAATAGTTTAAGTCGCACATTAAAGAAAATGTAAAAGTTTCAAAAACTGCGAATTTATGGGAGTTTGTTTCTAGCATTCGGTGAAAATCTACTTAAAATGATAAACATTGCTTATTCCTTGGCATGAACAGGAAGGCAGGTTAGCAAAAATGGAGTGCCACATAGTGCTTCTCCTATTGCGGGAAGAACATTTGTATTGATTGGAGCAGGAGGAGCAGGAAGAGCACTAGCTTTTGGTGCCAAACTTAAGGGGGCCCGGATTGTCATTTTCAACCGCAATTATAGTAAAGATTATGTTACCATAACAGTCTTCCCTTCATGCTATTCCTTTGTGTCTTCGATTGTCATCTTGATATCCTTTTAATGACTCTTTTCTTTCCCTACCAGAGAGAGCAAAAGCCCTCGCCAAAGCGGTTTCTGGGGAAGCATTGCCATATGAATTTTTAGAAAAATTCTGCCCGGAGAAGGGCATGATCCTTGCAAATGCTTCTGCTATTGGAATGGAACCAAATTCACATCAAAGCCCAGTTCCAAAGGTGCCTTTCTCTCTCTCTCTCTCTCTCTCATATTATACAAGTCAAATCCATTCATTAGTAAATCCTTCACATTTTCATGCCTGTTCAGGAGGCTTTGAGAGCATATGAACTAGTTTTTGATGCGGTTTACACTCCTAGAAACACACGTCTCTTGAAGGAGGCTGCAGAGGTTGGAGCCATTGTAGTGAGTGGAGTGGAGATGTTTGCCAGGCAGGCTCTAGGTCAATTCAGGCTGTTCACCAGTGGCTTGGGTAGTGTTCTTCTTCATAATCCGATTCATTACATAGCTCTAGAACAATGAATATTACATTTTTCTACCAGTTATCCAATCTCACGTCAGAAAACCAGAGATGATTTTGGTTAAAATTTCCTAAAATAGCAGAACTGATTTGTTTTTAACCTTGTGATTCTTTGCAGCTCCTGAAGACTTCATGCGCAAACTTGTAATGGAACAATTCTAATCACAGCAATATAAAGCCCAAAATAGCAGTCTCTCTGGGATGTTTTTGTTGAAAATCTCTGGAGGTCAATGTGCTGTTGGATTTTATGGTGGGGGCCATTAACAAAGAAGACGGAAAAGAGATCTCTTTCTATTGTCACCAAAATGCCCCATCGATTGAACCAATCCCTTTGATTTTATCAACGATCAGGACCGATCCAGAATTTATGATTGGCGGGCTAAATATTTTATATTAACTTAAAATTTTTTTTAAATACAAATCAATATATAATAAAATTACAAATAAAACCAAAATATAGAACATATCTTTTGTACACGAATAAATTTTGTCATAAAAATAATGTTTGTATATAAATTTAATTATATAATTCTTAATGTATACAGTCTAATCACTATTTAGATAGATTAATTTTCAATATAAAAACACATATTTTAATTTAATAAAATTTTTAAAAATAGATAGAATATGTGAAAGAATAATATAAAAATTAACATATATAGTTTTATGATTCACTTCTAATATGTCTAATTTTATAATTTACTTCAAATAAATAAACATATTTTGTTTTTTATTCATTATAATTTGAAGAACAAAAATATCTCCTTTCTTACATACAATGAAAAAAATAAAGATATAAATCTCAATAAATTTTTAATTACTTCATATTTTATATGTTTTATTTTTGTATTAAAAAAATGGTTAAAATCATTTAATTAGTACAATCGGTAGGCTTCACTATCTTTATACAATCACCTCACATCAATTTAAATAAATTATTAAGAGAAATTTAAAATTTAATAATTTCAAACTCTCTAAAAGTAATTTATTTTTTTTACAAACTTATATATATATATATTATAATGAAATTGTTTAGTACCCAAAAGATCAATGTTCAATACTAAATAAATAATAAAATATTTTTTGTTAGGGGTAAATTTTATAAAAATATTTTTAATGGGGGCAATATTTTAAATTTTTAAAACTTTTGAGTTTTTTTTTCAGTAGACCAAAATAAATTTAAAAACTCAGTTAAGGTAGCCGCCCTCTGGCTACTATGATATACAATCATATGAATAGAAATGATTGGTCAAGTTGCAGGGGTAATATTGTCATTGGGATTAATAAAATGTAATCTTCAGCTTCATTTGACTTCCTAAGATGACAGAATAGGTAGTGATAAAGGCAATCCACAAAAACTATCACGGCAAGTCCTCCTAATAAAAAAAAAAGGTCGGTTCAATAACACCGGGACAATTGGCAGAGAACTTGATTCTAGCATATGAAGCGGAGGCTCACTCTTACGTGTGCGTGATCAAATAAAAAAAATGGAGAGCGGTTTGTAATATCAGGGCGTTTGGTCTAGTGGTATGATTCTCGCTTTGGGTGCGAGAGGTCCCGAGTTCGATTCTCGGAACGCCCCCGTCCTTTTTTTTCATGACCTCGAGCAGTCATGGAGGTAGCATCTTTATCTTTCAACCTCGGAAAGCGAGGCCATGGATGCCACCTGTAATCAATAAGTCAAATATCAAATCATTATGCTCTTTTGCTTCTAAACAAAAAGACCAGAGAAGCCGACAAAGAAGGTAAAATACCAAAACGAAAACTGAGGGGGCATTCCGAGAATCGAACTCGGGCCCCGTCCTTTTTTTACATGACGTCGAGTCATTATGCTCTTTTGCTTCTAAACCAAAAGACCAAAGAAGCCGCAACAGAAGGTAAAATACCAAAAGGAAAACTGAGGGGGCATTCCGAGAATTGAACTCGGGACCTCTCGCACCCTAAGCGAGAATCATACCACTAGACCAAATGCCCGCTTGCTTTCGATTTAGATCAGTACGTTATATTTGTAGTTAAATATCTGCGACACGTTTCCCTCCAAAAGATTATTTCTGAGTCCCTTTTTTTTCGTGCCGTTTTTCCATTGCCCCTCCAAAACTCAAAATCCCACACTGCTTTCGTTGCATAAAAATCGGGTTTTACGTCACCCTTATAGTGTTCCTTTCCATTATTTAAGAAAATTTAAGTTTTCCAGCAAATGATCATTTCATCACAGGGAAAAATCCAACACTAAACAGAGGTTCTAACAAATTGAATGGCTGATTATGATCATAACGACACTGACACTTTGTTCTTTGACTCTCAGTCCCCATCCGGTAATCTTTTTTCTCTTAATACTTTTATTGTTTCTTTTTTTTTTTTTCTGCTTATTTAGGGGATTTTTGTTAATTACTAAGAAAAATCAAAATTTGATCAAAATAAGCACGTCACCATTGGAAAAAGATGTGTATTGATAGGAGTTGGTATAATGGTTCTCTTTTCTTGATTACAATATAGGAAGTAAAGGTGGAGAGTTGCAAAACACTGCCGTTTTTTATGATACCATGGTGCTTGATAGTTCTGTAAATGAAAATGAAACCCAGTTGGAGAATATTTGCTTTGACACTGAAGTCGCGGATAACGATGATGATGATGATCTGAGTAATAATATGGAGGATGTGAAAGTTGAACCAGTAATGTGTGAGCTTGATATGGAAATTGTGCTTGATAGTGAGGATGAAGAAATTTGTAGAGCCAAGGCTGAAAATTTCCTTGATGGTAGTAAGATCACGGATAGAAGTGAAGGGAAAGTGGCAAAGAAGAGGGAAGGGCAAAGCCCATGTTTAGATGCTGATTCAACTGACGAACAAATCGGTGCAGGTTGGTAGTACATTGGTTTCAGTTTCTTTTCTTTCTTTTTTTTTAATTTTATTCAATGTTATTTTACCCTTTTTTTAGCAAATTGAGATCAATATGATTGCTTTGTGTTATTGGTTTTGTTGAACATCACGTGTATAGGGTACTTTTTAGATAACATTTACTATGGTTTAAATTGAAGGGAAGAAAGGGTCTTCCACCAATCTTGATAGCAGTGATGGGAAAAAAGATGTGCCTCAGTTGTCAGTAGGTGATCATGAGATTGGAAGGTTGGAATATGTTAATTCTCAGGAACCGGAATGGTCATCCCAAGCTAATGCACTTTGCTTTGTGGATAACTTCTTGAGGTTTAATAATGTGGATATGTGTCAAGGAGTTGAAGAGAGAACCAGTGCAAGGAACGAATCACCTCTTGTTTCCAGTGCAAAGGGAACTCAACGTTTGGCTAAGATAATCAAGCGGGGATCTCTGGTCAAAGAAGTGGGAACTTTTAATTGGTTTGAGAGTTATCAGCAAGTAGAGACTGATTCCTTTAGCAAGAGGATGACAGCATCTTTTGAATTTGGAGGCTTTGGGCAGAGGACAGATAAAAGGCATCAAAATCTCCAGAATAAAGGGCAAAGAAGCTTAAGTAATGAGCATGAAGAGAAGAAAGAGTTTCCAGACCTCCACAGGGACGTTAGAGGTCCAAGTCATTCACATTCAAGTTTCATGGATCGGGGTTCGAAAGTGAGTATCATGATAGAACATGAATCTGAAAGGAATCTCATAAATGGATCCTTTAAGGAGTTGGATAAACCCAAGCAGAGAGAATCATCATGGGAGAAGTTTCAAACCAGTGGTACTGCAACAGACATACCAGACACATTTGAAGTCGGTATAAGCACTCAAATAGCTGCAGAAGCGATGGAAGCTTTATATTATGGCTTCCCTCCTGGTTGCAAAGGTGGTGATACATTTGAAGGCCTAGAGGATAGCCTCAAAGATCTTCCTGAAGGTGAAACAAAGAGTAGAACCCATTTGGAGCAACATTCCCTTCAAAAAGTTGCTGCCTGTGAGCTAGGAGAAGTTGCAAAAGAGTCAATTCGAAGAAAGCGTTCTGCTAGAAGAAATAGTAAGAACATTTCTAATTCTTCTTGGAACTGTAATTATCAGGAATTGAATCACACAACAAAACCAAAAACATATAAGAGCAAGCAATTAGAGGTAGATGAATCTGTGAGCAGCAATAACCTAAAAAAGTGTGAGACTTATTTGAGTCCATCTATTCCAGATGAGCAAACCATGCTCAGGAAAAAATTGCCACGGGAGGAACCCGTCATTCAACAAACTAGGCACTTGGAAGGAGGAGCTTCCATGAAAAGGACTAAGGACCAACCAGATAGACCAAGGGTAATGACCAATAATGTTAAGGAGGGCAGTATACTCACATATAAGAGAAAGAGGAAAAGCCTGTTTGCTGATCCGCCTAAATTGTTGAGTGGGAAGCAGAAATGCTCCAAGCTGCGTTCTCATGCCTCTGCTGAAGCTTTAGATGGCAAACTGAGTGAACCAGGGCAAAGTAGTCCACAAGAAGCTGCTATAGGCAGATTTTTGAGATTAGGTCCATGGAACTGTCCCAAAGGCAAAAGAACACATCATAAAATTCCAATCCATTCCTGTGGACAAAGTAATATGCATGCTTCATTCACTAGTGTTGGTGCAGAAGAACACAACCTGTGTTCTTTCAAAAGTCAAAATAAGCCAGAAGATGATGAAACCACTTCTAATAACTTAAACATGAAGGGTCGAGTTCTTACTTTCCTCTCTCAACTTTCTTTAGAAAATAATTCTGATGAAAGCTTATCAAAACAGAATTGTAAGGAACAAGTTACAGATATTGTTGCAAACAATGATTCAGCAGTCACTAGCATTAGAATATCTCCTTGGGACTTGGATAAAGCCAAGGCCATCCAAGCTGGCAAGCTAGATTATATGGATTCTACATTGATCATTAACAGTTTAAAGAACCATAGTTTTGGAGAATCACTAAGAAAGAGTATTGAACTGTCTGGTACCAAATGCAACACTACACTTAGTTGTGCAAAAGGTGTAAATGAGGCATCACTCAACAACAGGCCTTACGTATATCACAGAAGATCTTGCAACAAAAACCTACCAAAACCATCACTTTTGAAAGAGCTTATGGGATTAGGTGTTCCTGAGTCAATATCTAATTTTACAAGGAAAGTTTTCAGACCACGAAAAGAACCGGCCTATGTTCGAGTCTTGTTTAGCCAGCATTTAGATGATGATGTAATCAAGCAGCAGAAAAAGGTTTCTTTTCTAGAGTTTCTGTTTCTTATTCAGCAACATACTCATAGATCTACTTGTAATATTCTCTGATGTGCTTACTTTTATTTTATGCAGATCTCTGCACGACTAGGTATTTCTATCACATCATGTTCTATGGACGCCACACATTTCATAGCAGACAAATTTGTGCGTACAAGGAACATGTTGGAAACCATTGCTCTTGGCAAACCAGTGGTGACACGTCTATGGCTTGATAGCTGTGGACAGGCAAATTGCTTACTTGATGAGAAAAATTACATCCTGAGGGACTCCAAAAAGGAAAGGGAAATTGGCTTTAGTATGGCTATTTCATTGGCTCGTGCAAGACAGTTTCCACTTTTAAAGGTGATTGTCTATTTATCTTATGTTATGAGATATATTTCTTCAGTTGCTACCGACTTTTACTAGATGCTTTTCACATTGCTGGAATAACTTTTATGCTGATATCTAATATCTCTCAACAGGATAAAAGAGTCTGCATCACCCAAAATGTTAAACCTAATCAAGAGATGATTACTGGCTTGGTCAAAGCAGTTGGAGGTGAGGTATGTCTATCTACCTTCATAGGTAATCTACAGCTATTGGTCATTGGTGGTGCTTGAATATGGTTGGTATAACTTTGTCTCTTTTCGTTTTACCTTTTATTTGTCTCAAGAATCGACAACAGTTTATATATCATTTACCACTACCATAAAGAAATGACTTCCTGAGAATTGCTCCTCAGGTTGTGGAGACAAGTCAGAAATTGGCAGTAAAAGATCAAAAGATTCCAGATGATCTGTTGGTTCTTTCTTGTGAAGAAGATCTAGCAATCTGTGCACCTTTACTTGATAAAGGTTGTACATTATTATTTCCTTTTGTTCTTTCAATTAAATGATCACTCAGCTTTGTGGTAAACGAACAAGTTTACTTTTAAGTGCAGGAGCAGCGGTGTATAGTTCAGAGCTTCTGCTGAACGGGATCGTCATCCAAAAATTGGAATATGAGCGGTAAATGTTATGGAACTTTTATAAAATATTATCCCTGCATTCTCGGTTGTAGGTGTGCACTTGCTGGTTGACATTGGATTTAAGAACCAGCAAGGTTTAAAATCTACAGTTTTCATAGCATACTTGATTTGTGGCATGGCTAGGGCCATCATTCTGCTATTTGCTTAGCATAGCATTTGAATTCATTGTCAAGTGAGGAAGGTCATCTAAATTTCCCCAAATGCAAGTCATATTAGCTTCTAATTTCAAGCCAGCAAGAAGGCACTTCAAAAGTGCAATGGGATAGGCTTCCCAGGAAAAAACTGACCAGCTGATAATAGTATAATCATCTTGCAATTCTCTTTTAACTCTGTAGATGGTATTAGGACCCTAGAGAAAATTATTCTACCAGAGACTTATTGATACTCCGTGAAACAATCCTTAAGAAAAGCAATTGTAGTAAAAGTTGCAGAATCCTTAGACATCGGATATTGCACTGGATTGATATAACATTCCCAAATGAAGAAAGTTGACTGTTTTGTTTTTATAATGCTGCATTTTCCACTTACAGGCATCAGCTCTTCGCCAAATTTGCCAAAGAAAAAAGAGAGATCTCAGAGAGGAATAGACACAGCAGGATGCCAAGCAAAAACTGATCTCTCTTCTTACGGACAACTGTAACTAAAATTAGTCGGTCATATTTTGTATGAAGTACTCTTCTACGGATAACAATGTCAACTTAAAGGGAGAGAAGTAGCCTTTGACTGTTATAAAACTTTTAGATTTTATACCTATTTTGCTAAGTAAGACTTCTTAATGGTTCTCGAATTACATAATTTTTCTCCGATCCCAATCTTCAACATCAAATACCTCTTACAAACGAAGGCTTTTATTGCTATTGTTTAGCTCCAAATACAGGACTTCGAAGCCCAAAGATAGCAGGAGAAAAGGGGAGAGAGAGTTTGTTTTCAAGCAGCTTTCAACATTGGATAAACCAGCGATGAAAGGCTCTTAATTAGGAGCTCAACTCCAGAATAGAATGCACATATTCTGGAATCCTACACTCACCGCCTTCTCACAGCACCTTTGTCTTGAAAAGGCTCTCATCCAAGCCGAAAGAGTATGACATGATAACAAATCCCATGAGAATGATAACCATACGTACTTGCAACGTGGTGCAGCAATTACAGCTCCTCAAAAGAGTCCCTAGGCATGTTCATTATATGGTCATTATGATTTGTGATGCCCGGAAGAAGAAACTAAAACTGGAGAAGCTCCCATTACAACAAATAAAACGAGGCTACATAAATAACAAATCATCAAGAGACAGCTATTAATATTTCATTCCCTCACATTCATCAAGGCTCCAGATCTAAAAGCAACTTTCAACAGCATTACAAGCAAAATCTCACCAAAATTGTAGTGAATATAAGATAGTAATGGCAGTACAAAACTATCCTCCATTCAGCACCAAACAACTTGATGCAATTTACACAGTGAAAACCCAATAGAAAAGCTTAATGAAATATCATCACTTCACTCAAAGGAATGCCAGTGTGCTTTGATTGCCCGTAAAAAGAGTATGATCATGGTAAAAGTTATCAAGAAGATATAGAATCTCATTTATTAGGTCTAGTTTCAACATTATAAAGTAGGATGCCTCGTTATAAGAATAAAATGCAATCATAAAAGAACAACAAAATCAATCATGATACTGCTGGCTTAAGTTTGAATTTCTGCATTGGCCCAAAACATTTTGAAACCAGATATTCCTTTGCAAAGTTTATATACGCTTCCCAGCAGACAAATTTGCCAAAAAAAAAACAATGTCAAAGCAAAATGAGCCAACTTCTATGTGATTTATCAAGTTATCAAATTTTCCATATGCTTCAAGTCTAATACACAAACTACCCTTCTAAAAAATATTACCATACACCGTTAATCATCTGAAAGCTTCTTGTTCAATAGCATACATGGGCTTACTTAAGCTTTTACTTCAGATATGGAAGCAAAGCATGCTGAGTTTAACCAGATTAATGATTAGCTTCAGACGGTTGTGCATTGGCATTAAAATTGTCAAACCCTCCACTTGTTGAGACAGCAATATTGGTTGGATATGGTGCAGGCGTAGCCATGGTGGGCGCTCCATTAGAAGAAGTGGGTGTTGTTGTACTTCCAGGAACTGTTGTTGGGGGAGCCAATGTAGGAGGCCGTGGAAGCCGATTTATTTGACCAGGCAAGGAAGGAGCACCAGGTGGTGCCAACATTGGTGGCATGCCCGGAACATTAACATAACCTGCCATTGTCACCCAAAAAGAAAAAAAATTCAATTCCATCCTATGTGTGTAAGTTAGATCCAGCATGGAAAAGCCAACGCCTTGATTGAAATGATGCCAGTATAAATGAAATGAGATAAAAGTATCCAACATATAAATCGACAGCTTTATGAAAACAAAACAAATACACAAACGAAAATCCTTTGAGTTCACTCAAAACAAATACACAAAAGAAAATCCTTTGAGTTCACTATCACCGCATAAATTTGTAATCTAATACATTAATTAACCAAATACCCAATTTTCATATTACCAACAACAAGAATAATGCAGATACAATCAAATCTTACCTGGAGCACCTGGTGGTCTAGGCAGAACAGGGGGCCTAATCCCTGGGACCATAGGTTGATTAACAGGCATCGGTGCACCCCCCGGAATTGGCATAACAGGTGTTGGAAGAACAGGAAGTCGAGGTCTCTGAGCCATTAGATGCTGATTGAAAGCAGCTCCAACCTGCTGGAAAGCTGCAGCTTGGCCAAGATGTTCCTTGATCCTTTGGTCAATTAAGCTTTGGGTCTGTTGCTCCTCAAATTGCTGATAGTAAGTTCTAACATTTGCCTAAATTTACACACAGAATCAGCCAAAATAGTATAACTCACAAGATAAATAAATCACTTTAATGCAAAGAGAAAATTCTCTATAACCACCTTGTGTTTATAACCTGCATTGTGTTGTTTTCTCACTGATGGCTGAAATTTAAACCCCAAAAAAAATTGTCAGCAATTTTTCTAAAAGCGACAACCCAAACTAATAAAGTTACTTAATTTTAGAAAAATTCAATCAAAAATCTGTTTAGAGAATAAATATGAAAAAGAAAAAGAATAAAAAAAAAACTCACAGAATCGTGGGTCAAATAAGTGTCGCAGTAATCACAGTAATACCTACAAAATTGAATCCAAATGCATAAAATGTTAATAAAAGATTTTCGTAGTGATGATGTTAGTTTCTTTTGAGATTGAATAAATGAGTCAAGATCCGTACCGAGGCATGAGTGTGAAAATACTCAGAATCGAAGCTTGTTGCAGATCGTGAAACCCTAGAGAGCGCGAACCGGACCGCCGTTAGAGCGAAAACCCTAGAGATCGAAAAAGAAAGAGAAAAAAGGATTTGACTGCGTTCTAGAACATTTGATAGGTGAACGGAGTTATATACGAATTATAATGTAGTGTTTCCGGGAACCGTGATCAAATATTTGACGGTCATGATTGGCTAGTTGGTCTTCACATCGGACCGCTAATAAATTAGGAAAACTTATTTTGATATTGCCAAGGTCATGCAAATTTTAAAATCAAAACTAGAAAGATTTAAATTAAAATATTAAAATATCTTAAATTATTTTTAATAAAATTTTTTTATTTCAAATGAAAAAATTATTTATGTCAAAATATTTTTAAAGTATAAATAAAAATTTTAAAATTTTATTTAAATATAAATTAAAAAATAAAATTTATTTAATTATAAATAAAAAAATTAAAGACTTATTTAAAGATGTTAAAATTTTAAAATTTTTTCTAAATAAAATTATAATTATTGTTTTTTTATTATTTGAGCGAAATATTTATATATAAAAAAATCGTTTATACTGACTACTGACCGTTAAGACACAAACTGCATACGTATAATAAATCAATTCCCTCTTCCAACGGAAAAACCAGTCAGAAGCGCACATTTTTCCTGAAAACCAAAAGGTCGGAAGAAAGTGGGAAAACATAAACAAAAGATGGATGGCAATTCGGCTTCTCCAAAATCCTCGCTTTCAGGTCAGTTTCGCGTCCCCTTAATTCTTCTTCTCTTCTGTTTGGTTACCAGGAAAACAGAAAGAAAGTTAAGGAAAATGCCAATGATAAGTACTAGAAAGTTCATTCGTTTTCGGTTGAGTTTTAAACATTTGATTTTCCGTAGCAAGGACCGTTAAAGTTAACAAGAGGCAGAGTTGGGCAACATCGTCGTCAGGTGCCCTTTATCACTTCGGTACGAGTGGAATCTTTGTTGAGGTTGCCACCGGCCGTTCACATCCTCTAGGTTCACTTTTTTACCTTTTTCCCCACCGTTTTTTCCCTTTTTTTTTAACTTGATTCAACCATTTTTTGAATGCTATTTGCGGGATTGAGGATAGTGCAGTCTGTTAGAATTTTTTTTTCATTTTAATGACTGTAAAAAAAAAAATTGTCTTTTTTTATACTTGTTGGGGATGATCGATGAACAAGAAGACAGAACTTGAAGTGAAGGTTTTTGTTTAAGTACATGTTTCAAACATGAAGTACAGATGACCTAATTGGCCTTGAAAAATGTCATACTTTTAAGAGGAATTAATTTTGAATTGCTTCAAATTAAAATACAAACTCACAAGAATACACCCAAAAAAAAACATATGGAAAGACACTTTTTGAAGTTGGATCTTGGCATTGTTGATTGAATCTATAGCTAATTCATTTATCTGTGCGCGTAGAGTAGGTGCGCTTAAAGTTCGGCTGCAAATGCAGCTTTTTGGTCAGAGGGGTCCTTTGATTGGAATGGTATTTGACCAACACTTTCAGTTTACTTTCCTGATGATGATTATCTAATTTCAATATATATACAGGTGTAAACAGGGACCATTATTTGTTCAAGTAGTGGAAAATGAAGCACCAAAGTCTCTATATTTAGGATTGACGCCTGCATTGACCGGATCTCTTCCATATGGAGGTCTTCGCTTAGGCTTGCATGAACCATCAAAATATGCCTGTGATTGGGCCTTTGGTTCCTGCAACATTTTAGATAAGATTGCATCAGGAGCAGTTGCTGGTGCCATTTCAACTGCCCTGACCAACCTGTGGAAGTTCTGAAGGGAATGTTACTGCATTACTTATTCTAATCCTTTAAGCTCATTGTGGATCTAAGAAATACTTTTCTGCCATCTGGTGCAGCTACAGATGAACTCAGATTTGAGACAAAGCGGGCTAATTTCAGAAATGCACAGAATTGTTTTCAAAGAGGGAATAGGTGCTCTTTAGAAGGGTGCTGACCCTGCTACAGCTAGAGCTGCTGCCTTGACTGCGTCACAGCTTGCAACATATGATGAATCCAAGTAGGTCATTTTCTTAGTAGGATGTTTTCAGTTTGAATATCCACTAAGTAATTTCCAAAATTTTTGGATGATTTATTTAGTGTTTGATTTATCATCTAGCTAGTGTGTCTGTCGTTCATTTTCTTTTCACTTTGCCTTTCTTTTCCACTTCTAAAGTTTTCTAAAATTCTATCAATGCAGATATTGCCTTTCTTTTGACACTCTTGAAGCTCAAGTACAATTGCTGGCTTGGCGAGCAGTGAGCACTCTGATTACAGCACCCATTGACACGGTTAAACCCCATCCTATGTTACAACGAGTAAGTGTTGGCAGCTATAAAAATGGACTTCATTGGGCATATCAGGTAAAGAATTGTTTCATTTTTATGTACTCCCTTCTTCATTGTTGCTATAAGTTGCTCCTTTTGTCACATCAATTTTTTTTTCTTTTTGTGCATTTAAGTGTCTTTTACTTTGTTTCAACCATAAGAACTGAGGTTGGACGGAGTGGCATTGCTGAGAGCTTCTATCAAACATAAAAGAGAATTGCTAAGAATCAGCATCTCGATTTCTTGGGTCCTTACTTTTTGGGAGGTGATGGAGGTTAGAGATTATAAATTTAACCTCATTTTATATATTGATTGATTTGGCCAGTAGAGGTTTGACATAATTTATTTCCCAGTCATGCTATGTCTTACATCTTTGTTTTATTTAAAACTTATAACATGTGCCGGACCTTTCAACTCTGAATACATAACTAGACTGATGTATTTTCCAATGTATTTGGTTTCAGGTTCTGCGTACAGAAGGTCTCAAAGGACTTTATAAAGGGCAAGATTGTACATAAGTTTTCATTCTTTCTTACTTTTTTTTTTCCTTTTTGATGCATTAATTTTAAATGCGGACAATGGACACACATGTAGCATCCAGAATTCCAGATAGTATTGGCCTGAAGCTGTAGGGTTAGTTGCAAGGCATTTATTGTTAAGTTTTAATCTCATATTCTGATTTCCAATTTTAACTTAAAAGTTCTTATTGCTAGGATTTTATTTGAGGGGATGCAAAAAGAAAATTAATGGACTGGTGAGCTCAGAAAAACTGTAAAGATTGTTACTTCATCTTTTTCGCCCATTGGTGTTAACATACCGATTTCTGGATGTTGGTCTTTAAATTTTCATCAGAGGCTTCGTCAATTTGCAAGCTTGTGGGATTGAATGCAATCTAGTGGTGGGATAGTTCATTTGTAAGTTACAACATTAGCTGTCTACAGAGATATGGAAATGCCACACAGCTGCCCTCATTGCCAGCAAGGCCCAATTTGGAGGAAACTATTATATTAAATAAATTTTGTATTCATTCTTTTGGTGATTCAGGTCACCACTCAATTATGTAGGGAACAAAAATTTTAGTTGTATACCCATTAAAATTGGCCATACTTTATCATTCATAAGATGGTCCATATATTTGATGGAGTAGTTTACTCTTTATTTTCCCATCATTTTTGTTGTGGGGTTTGGCTGTAGTATAATCATGAAGCCAAATTTGGTGTTCTTGTCAACTATTATCTAACATGTTGCACTATTTTTTATATTTTCTAATAAAAGGGTTTACTTGTAGTTGTTGTGATTGATGAAAGATTGTTGATCTTGTCTGCATTTTTCCCATGTTGATGTTTTTAGACTTGTCTTTTTGGTTTCTCAACAGTTAAGGTCTTTTACAAGGAAGAATTCATAATAATTTATGATTTTGTCATCATTTCAAAGTGAATTGCAGGGCTGAACTCCGCTGGCAGGTCCTGTAAGGTACAAGCAAGAAACCAGATTTGTTGGGGCATACTTTGACTGGTACTCCCTTGTATAAAAAAGTTTATTAGGTACAACTAACTCTCATTTGACTTTGAGAAATAGTTTCTTTTCCTTGAGGTTTCTCTTTTCGGTGCATTTTATATATAATTATTTAATTATAATAAAAATTTATATTAAAATTTATCATTTATAAATACAAATTTCATATAAAATTTTAATAAACCTTACATAATTTCAAATTATAATTAATTAATTATAAATGATGTACTTCGGTCTCCTCCACCAACCTTATGAAATATTATGATTGCTTCCAATCTTAATGTCACAGATTTTCTTTATCATACCATCTATATTTCTTGTTTGTCAAACTAGTTCCTCACTTTTCACATCCACCCTATGATTATTTCTCAATTTGCTGCTGCCACTTGCAAAATCCTTAATGCTACCATGCCCAGGCTAGGCCCACTGCTTCATCAGCAAACCATCTTTTCTTTCTCCTTTTCAAATTTTCAAACATATTAATAATTAATTAACCCAATAAATTGGTTTACCATTGGTTGTTTTCTCCTCTAAAATTTACAAATATGGTAGGTTTCATTTTTTTTATTATTATTAATTTAGTATTGTAGTTGTGAACAATTGGGATGAGTTAGGACGTCTTCTGCTCTAACTTTTTAAAGTTGTTTTAAAAATTGCCCATATTTTTCTGTAGGAATATAAATGATAGAATATGAGGGAGGTAGAACATTTTTTATCTCATTTTTATTTTTTATTTTTTATATTTAATAGATATTTTAAATTTATTTTTATTTTCATTTTTATAGGTATTTAATAAGTCAGTATCCTAATTTAAAAAAAATATAAATTTTAATTTTTATTTTTATCTTAAACATTTATGTAACTTTTTATAAATATATTTTTTTAATTAAAAATATATTAATTTTAATTTATATAAAATAAATTTTATATTATTAAATAAAAATTAATTTATTAAATATATATAAAATATAAATACGTATTATATTATTCATTTTTTTTATATTTGATAAAAAATTTTAAAATCATATTTATTTTTATCTCATTTTCATTCTCAAAATATAATATACATTTTTATCCTCGTTAAAATAAAAAATTAAACTGATTTTTAATAAAATTGACGCCCTTAATTTCCAACCAATGCTATGACAATCCCGTAGCAGCTATTGGTGGAAATTAATTCCCCTAAGAAGGCAATCCAGTAGCGGCATTGGCTAAAGTTAAGTCGAACTCGATTTCGACCATGAAATAGAACTTCAAAGTCACATCAGTCTACTTTTGGCATTTTGACTGGGAACTAGTCCAACATAGTAAGCGAGGACGGAGTCTACTACATGGTTTTCAATTTTATTTTTTTTTAACACAAAGTCCTCGCAAATAAATGAATTATTACTATATTTACACCATCATTTTGACTGTAGATTTAACCTATTAAATTCATCGAGAGAAATTCAATTATTAAACAAAAATATTTTTTAAACTAACATTCTATTTATATGAAGATAATTTCTTAAAAATAAAATTTTAAATGAATTAAATTGAGGTGAAAAAAATATTTTTTTTAAATGTTCAAAAATAAAAATAGAATATGAAAATATTTATGATATCAAATTAAACCTACAAAGGGCAAAATTCTAATAAGTTCTAAAATCTTAAAGTTAAAATTCAACATATTCTTTTAAATGGATCTTATTTTTTGTTTAAATTAAATTTTTTAATTTTATATTTCTACCTAACTTTTTCCAAATATCAGACTGAGTAATGACCCTAAGGATTGAATTTCAGGGTATATTTGCAGCCTAGTTAGAGGTGCAGCACTCAAAGATGACCGTGGGTTGATTATGAAATGACAAAAATCATTACTCATTACTTCACCAATGATTTTGGACCTTTCGCTTTTTGGCGTCTAAATCTACTAGTACAAACAAAGTATCAAAAAACCGTCTTGGAATTTTTCACCGTTTGACCTTTTTTACAGTTTTACTAGTGGTAAAAATATTATCCCGTCGAGGAAGTAAGTTGCAATCGGAAAGCAGAAGAGCAGTCTTTTGTAACCTTTGGAAGTGAGAGGGAGGGGGTTAGCGTTGGCGGGACAGTCTGGCGTTCTTATCTTTTGCACCTCGGTTTTCACGTTAAACTACCGTTGTACCCCTCCCCTTGCTTTTACTTTCTTACCCTTCTGTTCCAGATCCTCTCCACAAAACTTATAACGGTATCCGTATACCTTTTCTGCTGAAAATTACCCTGACACACACACACCCCCCCCCATTTGTTTGGTCAACCCCTTTCCAATTTCCCTCTTATTTAGTTCTTCCTTCTATTTTTACTATGAAATCCGGGTTGTATTAATAAAACAGACACTCAAAGTCAGAGTCTCCAAAGGATTGATCTAAAAAGGAAAATTTTGAAAAGCTGATGCATTTCTTTTTTTGTATAAAGTACCAGGAACCAAACATTTTTGCAGCTTTCTTTGGCATATTATATTATTTTATTTTGTTATCTAGATTTTGATATCATTTTAATATTATTATGATAATGTAATTTTTTAAATTATTTTATTATTTGTGATTTGAAAATTTTTTATAATTAACGATCATTCATTTTTAAATTTTGAAAATTATTGTGTTTAATGTTATTAAAAATTAAATTTTTTATTTAAAAATATTAAAATAATCTTACATATTGTAAATTATGTTAGAATTATTTATAGATAATAATTTATAAAATATCAGTAATATTTTATTTATTTTATAATAAAATTTTTTAAATTATTAAATAAATATTATGTTTATTGATAGCTAAATCGATTTTTATAATATAAATTATATAAAAATAATTAATTACAAAATTAAAACTAAATTTATTAAAAACATAACAAAAATATTTATATTACAAATAATCTGGTGGAGACCAAACGGACATGGCTTTTCAAGGACAGACATTCAAATGGAAGGGAGGGAAAATATATATATATGTATATATGACTTGTATGGCAATGGGCTTGAGTTGTCTCTCTCATTTGGCGGAGCGCACCGATATTAATTTTCTTGCTCGAAGAAATTTCACATACTTTCATTCCTTTTTATTCTTGTATATTGAGTTTAATTAGACTTGGAAAAAAAAACTATAAATATTACAATGAAATTTTTATTGTTGCACGTTAAGATAGATTACTTGTATGATTTACAAAGTAAAAAATGACTTTGAAATGGTTTTTGATACGTAGTGATTATTTCAAAAATGATTATAATATAAAATCTATATTTATGATAATTAAATTATTATGTTTTATAAGTGTTTGATGATTTTATATAATGATAAACTTCGATTATAAAAAATTAGCAAACCATTATCTTTAATTTGAGGATAATCTAATAATATTCATCGAAAAAGATGAAAAATTTTTATCATCAAAATAAATAATAGTTAATATTACCATTTAATATGTTAATTAAAACTTACTTACTCTCAAATTTATAATTATTTTATATTATAAAATTTTAAATTAATATTTATTGTACGTAACAAGTTAAAATAATTTATGTGTTTTTTAACTTTTTCAATGTTTATATATAATATAATTTTTTTTTGTTTTTCTTTTGTTATGGTTTTAATATATTAGTTTTATTTTCTAATTAAAATATTTTGTATATAATTTATATTATAAAAATTAGTTTACCTATCAATAAATATATTTATTAATTTAATAAATTAATTATATTTTATTATGAAGTAAATAAAATATTACTAATATTTTACAAATTATTATCTTTAAATAATATTAAAATCATTAACTCATATAATTATTACAATATAAATTGTTATTTTGATACTTTCAAATAAAATAATTTTTATTTTTAATAATACTAAATATAGTGATTTTAATTTTTAAAAATTAATCATTGTTAATCAAATAAAGTGATTTTAAATCATAAGTGATAAAAATAAATTAATAATAAGATCATTTCGATAATTAAATTATTATAATAATTTTAAAAATATTATATGAAAGTAAAGTTAGTACGAAGTGACAATATATAATCAATTTCCAAATCCTATATAAATCAGTTGACTTTTTATATACAAAAAAAAATAATTAATGGGAAGCTATCAAATTTCAAGACTAGCGCATATCACGGTGAGGACTTAAACTGGATATATAAATCATCCATTCGGAAGAAATATTGAAAGTGAAAAATCGAATTTAAATTTTATAAGTAAAATATTTAATCTTTATCATCTTAACTTGACATAAAAACTAGTCGATTGTAGCACGTCTTATTTACTATTTTTACATATTTATACTATATAAGGAAAATTTATTGTATAATTTTCACCTTGTTTGATTCAAATATGAAACTTTTAAACTAGAGTTTTAAAATTAAATGTCCTATTGAGTCGCATGGTATTTAATTTCGTCAGTCACTTGCGGTGGCAGCCGTAGCCACATAGTGAATACAGGTCAATTGACTTTACTGAATTTTAAAAAGGGTTAATGTCATAAATAATTCTTAAATTATAGTGACATATTTATTATGATACTTAAATTTAAAAATTATATAATGTGATACATAAATTATAAATTATTAATTAATATGATATTTAAAAAGTTATTTGTCAATTATATTTTATCATTTAAAATTAATCATATTAAGGTTGAAAATCACGTTAATTAGCAATTTGACAGTTCAAATAACATATTAAAAAATTTTAAAATAAAGTATTACATTAAACATTTTATTATAATTTATAAATTATTCATGATATTAATCCTTTAAAAAAAATTCTACATTTATATATACAGAAAATGCTAAATTATTTTGTAAATTTTTTATATTGATCCCGTTAAAATTTAATAAAAACTTAAATAGAAGGGTCAGACAAATAAAAATTTCATTCATTTTTACAATAATAATATTAGTATTTAGGTTTCAAACAAAGTGTTAAAAAGTTTTTATATTTGGGTATAAATATAATTATATGTTAATAAGAATCAATTCTTAAAATTGAAATGTGAGATATATATATATATTTAAATATAAATATTCTATATAAATGTTAAATCATACATTTTATTGTATATAAACATTAATTTTTATTTATTTTTTATTCAAATATATTATTTTACTCCTTATATCCAAAGATATTTTTGACATAGTAAAATATAAATAATAAAAATAATAATCAAGTGATTTTCAATTTAATTTATAAATTTAAAGATGATTACATCGTAGATGGAATTGCAAGAGACGGTATCTTATTGTAATAATTTCTATTAAATATATTTTTTTTATTATATAAAATCATTGAATTTCAGGCAATTTTTAATAATATAATGTAAAAAATATTTATGTTATGTGCTTATATAATATGAGTTAGTGAATGAATATTACCTTGTTGATTTTGTTTTAGGTATGCCCCTGGTCACTTGAATAATGCAAACATCTTAGTTTGTTATAATACTAGCTAATTAAATTATTTGTTGGTATGAATTAAACTTGCTTTTGAAAAAAAAATAATGTATGAATGTATTTATCGTTGAATCAAATATTCAGCGTCATTTAAACATTTGCTTTGTCAAAATCCCTTAAAAAGTATAAAACTTTAACACATTGAAACAATTGTACCTTATATGTTTGCAATCTATTTTGTTTTTACTTACCTTATATTAATATGCTTAAGCCAACAGCACATAACTTTATGCACAGATCAATTATTCATTATTAAATCACACTAATGATGAGTTTTAAGTTTAGAGTTTGGTGACCAACCGATGGAATGCTCATGAAAGTCTATTTCTCATATACAAGGTTAAATCGTTGTTTAGAGTGTTTTATGGGTGAAAAGAAGTGTGGAGTTGAAGAAGTGAATTGAACCTATTATCAGCGGTTGCCGGTTTGGAGGTTAAAAAAAGTGGAGTTAAGACGTGGATTGGACTTGAATGTCAGCGAGAACTGAGAAATTCACCGTACCCCACTTGATCCACGAGCCACCCTATCAAATTCATCTTTCCCCCCCTCTTTTCCAAGTGGAGTGTCCTTTTTTAACAAATCATGAACTTTTTCGATGCAAGCCAAGATGGCCGACGGGAATCACTAAAAAGAAGAAATGTAATTCTAAAAATTGCCAAATAAGACAAAGAAATCACAAGGGTAAATGCGTCATTCAGCATTGGCCTCGCTTTAAAGTACAAATCCTCGTTCCAGCTCACAAATGTACAAGTACATCCACCTCCAATCCTGGAAGATGCACAGCTGTAAGGGTAGTATCGTAAATAAACCCAAAATAGCCCCACTTTGCAGCCATTTTAATTACAATAAATCCATTGAAGATCCAACTTTGCCATCCAGAAACCCCCTTTTTTCCCACCCCGACGACTCCCAAAAAATAAATAAAATAAATAAAATTCGGTTAGAGAGAGAAAATCAAAGAAAAAAAAAAAAACAGAGAAAATAGAGGAAGAAGAGCAGGCATTAATGGCGGAGGGAAAAAGGGAGAAGAAAGCGACGAACGAAGAGAGCGTGAAGCTCTTCGTTGGTCAAGTGCCGAAGCACATGACGGAAGCTCAACTTCTCGCAATGTTCAAAGAGTTTGCTTTGGTCGACGAAGTCAACATCATCAAAGACAGGGCTACTCGCGCCTCTAGAGGTTCAACTTTCTTTTTGTTTTAAATTTATTATTCTTTTTTAAAGTTTCAAATCTCTCACATTTCTCGTTCTCTTTTAGCGGTTTTTTTTTTAAGTGATTTGTTTGATTCGTTTAGTTTGGAGTGAGATTTGCTGTGCTTTGGCGAGGCTTATAGTGTTTGGAACCCTAATTTTGAGGTTTTTTCTCGTGTTTTTTATGTTGATTAAGGGTGTTGCTTCGTTATATGCCCATCCAGACAAGAGGCCGATAAGGCGGTCAATGCCTGTCATAGTAAGAAGACTTTGCCTGGGGTTAGTTCAAATTTTGAATTTCTGTTTCTCTGTTTTGCCTTTCTTCTTAGCGATTTATTGCCACATTGTCAGTTATTGTTGTCAAAATCTACCTGTTACTCATCCAAATTGGTTGTCGTGATCTTAGCGTATCGTAATTAACTTGGCATTTGTAGCTTATTCGACAGCTGGCCTGCAAACTTAGCACCTAACGGCGACATCTGTCCACTCTATTTCACTATTAAACTATGAGGCAGTCAAAATTGTTGCATCTTGGACATTGTGTTCGTGGCATGAATCTTGCCATATACTGTTTTTGATACTGAAAGCTTGCATCATATGAAATTATTTCTTAAGTATTTATTAAAACTACCTTAAACTTGTATCTACTTGGCATTTTGTAGCAAACTCGGTATTAGTTCGTTACTGCTTCATTGTGCTGATTAGGGTACATGCAGATAATGCAGTTGTAGAATATAGAGTATGTAAGTTTGATAATTATTTATACTAGCTCATTTCAAGTAAATTGATATCTTGAGTTTTAGAGACAATGGAAAACGAGAAGATCACAACATCAAATTCCAGCATGCTGTAAGCATATATTTTTTTTAAACACCTGGTTGTTTTCTAATGAAATGAAATTCTGAGAAATTTTACTAGTATGTAAAAGATTAAGGCTAGAGCTTTTTATACTAGATATTATTTTATAGTAGAACATTATTCGAACAAGAAACAGGGTGATTTAGTGATTTCAACCATGAATTTGTCTGAATTTCAAATAATTAAGCAAACAATTGGTGTTGGAGTTCTACTTATAGTGTCACTTAAGGCTAACTAACCTCCAGCCATTTGTCATGTTACCACATTATGTCAGTCAATACGTTTCATATTTGATTGACCTGCTTACAATCTTGGAGTGAAGACAAGCATAGCTTATCATTAGAATTATATTGTAATTGGAAACAAGGAGTTAGCTGATCAAATGAATTGATCTGGTTAGTAATGTCAACGTAATGAGTGAAAGTATATGATTTGAAATGAAAAGAATGAGGTGATGCTGCAGCTTTTGGGAATAAGGGGAAGCGTTTATGTGTATTAATGTAATTAAGAAAATGCATGATCAAGTCAACAAACAAACCTTTCAACACTTAATATCAATATGAGCTTTGCCTAGTCAGGCTCACTGCCCTGAGTTCCATTTTATGCCTTAGTTGTTGATTATTAATCATTTTAAATAAACACCACCCCATGGTTGAAGCACCTGATTGTTCATGCAATATTTTTTTATTTTTATAATACAAATGAGTTGCTGTAGCAAAGTAGTGTTGTTGTGATGTATGAATTGGAAGCATATAAGGACTTTCTTTCCCCACAGTTAATAAAAGAGATGAATTTCTGCATGTAGCTTGACAAACCAATAAGCCTGAAAATAATTCACAATTCCGTAGTAATATTTTAATTAAAAGTATATAAGCACGGTTCAGAAATGAAAATTCTCTATATGTAATCTCTTCTACAAGTTATATCTGATAGATTTTAAACAAGAGCAGAAGAACCACATAATTGTGCATAAGCATAGATCTAGGAATCCAATGACAAATAAAATCAGTGTCCCTTCTGGGAGGCAGTGTTAGTAGAATTTGATCGATGAGGATAAATTTGATTTTGACATCAATGTATCCTAAAATGGTTACTAGTATGACCAGAAAAATTTATGCCTCAGGTGACGTACATTGTGGCAGTCTATTTAGGTTTTATTTTCATGATTGAATTTGATTGACTGGGATAAATTTGATTTTGACATCAATGTATCCTAAGATGGTTACTAGTATGATTGGATAAATTTATGCCTCAGGTGACATACATTGTGGCAGTCATATTTACATTTTATTTTCATGATTGATCTTTGTGCATTCTGATATGTGGTGTAAGATATGCCTGTTTATAAGACATGGCATGTCCCTGATCTAGGATTTAGAGTAATCAATAACTTGATCCTTTTCATTCAAACTTTCAATGAAAAATCTTGGGACAATTTAATGCAAAGTACTTTATTGCAATCACCTATGTCTGCTGTCATATATTTGTGCATAGAGATTACTTTTACTATGTGAGAGTCTTATTACCTCCCTGATTAGAACTCATCTTTCTGTTCTTTTGCCCGATTCAGGCATCTAGTCCATTGCAAGTGAAGTATGCAGATGGCGAATTGGAAAGATTAGGTATAAATAACTTCTGTAAATTAATTGCTTATAATTCTGCTTCCTATGAGGTTGGCAGAATTGATTCTCTTTCATTATTTGGTGATGCTCTTTCTATCAAATCCTTGAATAAATTATGAAATATTATCTTCTTTTTACTGCCCGATGGATCTAGAGCACAAACTCTTTGTTGGCATGTTGCCAAAGAATGTCTCGGAAGCTGAAGTTTCTGCTTTATTTTCTAAATATGGAACCATAAAGGACCTACAGATTCTAAGAGGTTCTCAACAAACAAGTAAAGGTAAATATTCTTTGATCTTGATTTCTTTTCTTTCTTTTCCTTTTTTTTTTTAAAAGAAGAAACATATTAACTGCTAAATTGTATAAACAATTAAAACCTCAATCTTAAGCTGATTTCAAAATTTGAATTGTAGTTGTTTTGGTTTCTTTATGGCAGGCTGCGCCTTTTTGAAGTACGAGACAAAAGATCAAGCCCTTGACGCCCTGGAGGCCATTAACGGAAAGCATAAAATGGAGGTTGGTATTTTGTACATGTTTCTGCCGTTGAATATCAACAAATTACCTGGAAGATTGTGCTGAGTATCTATTCCCGTTTTATTTGGTATCTTTTGCATATTAAATTTTTCAATGCATTTAAAGGTTATGTGCTGATCAGCTATCTTACATAGTCATTGTTCATTCATAGGAGTGAATTATGACATCAAAATTTAGTCACCCCTTAATGCTTGATGTTAGCTTAGATTGTAAGAGCTCAAATCACTAAAGATTTCAATATTAACCTGGAAATTTTTGCACATGCATCAAAAGATGATTTTTCTGGCTTAATATTCCTATTATGTATTGCAAGCAACGAAACGAAATTCATTGTTGTGAATAGTTGCATGTTGCATCTAGAATCCAAGTTGTCAAGCAAATGGGCTCTCTTTAGAAGCCCATAATCTTTTATCTTCATCAAGATACACTTGGGCTTACATTTGAAATTTCCTTCTATACCCTAGTGGGTTGCAAAATGCATATGTACAATTTAGAAGCTATTGTCTTCTTTAGACTGGGTTTTTGTACCAGATAATTAGTCTTTAATCGAATCTTTACCTCTTGGCTTCCAAATATGAGTTAAGAGTGCAGTGGCGACTGCCTTAAGTAGCATCTTTTCTTATCATCTCTGGTAGTGAGTTAGACAGTTTGTTATTCTCAAATAAAAGTGGGGTGGTCTTTATTTTCTGCTGTTTAGGGTTCTAGTGTCCCTGTCGTTGTCAAATGGGCAGATACAGAAAAGGAAAGACAAGCTCGAAGGGCCCAGAAAGCCCAATCTCAAGCTTCCAATATACCAAATGCTGATTCACAACATCATTCATTGTTTGGAGCGTTGCCAATGGGTTATGTTCCTCCATATGGATATCAGGTGGGTTTTCGTTCTTTTTTGACAGGAGCTATTTTTAAATTTCTGAAACACATTTCGGGACTCATCAGTGATTCCGTTTCCTCCTATTTTCACTGAGATATGGGGATTGTCTAAATTTTTTGTCATGATGTTTTGACTGAGCATTTAATATCTAAATATGACTGATAATCTCATTATTTATTTAGGCTCCAGGAAGTTATGGACTGATGCAGTACCGCTTGCCACCAATGCAAAATCAGCCTGCATTCCACAGTATGATTCCTCCAGTAAATCAAGGAAGTGCATTGCAAGGAATAACACCTGACCTAGCTCCCAATATTGCTCCTAGAAATTATGCTATGCCTCCTGCAAGTTATGTGGGCTCACCTTACCCAGCCGTGCCAGGTCTGCAATACCCCATGGCATATCCTGGGGGAATCATGAGCCACCGTCCGTTGATTGGTTCACCTGGTTCCGTGCCTCAAGCAAATACAAGCAGTAATTCTTCATCATCTTCCACTGTTGGTACAAATTCAGGAGGTCAGATTGAAGGTTTGCCATCTATGGTCATCTTGGTTTTTGTTATCTTTCCAAAAGTAGATTCTTGGTGGTGGCATGCTATTAATTAGTCTATGCTTTGACCTAGGTCCACCTGGTGCAAATCTGTTTATTTATCACATACCTCAAGAATTCGGTGATCAAGAGTTGGCTAACGCTTTTCAAGGATTTGGTAGGGTCTTAAGTGCAAAGGTTTTTGTTGACAAGGCAACAGGGTTTAGTAAATGTTTTGGTAAGTACGGTATCTTTTACCTCTCAAACTGATATTATTGTTAAGGAGTTTTCTCTCTCAAGAACCTCTCTTTGTAGGATTTGTTAGTTACGACTCTCCAGCAGCTGCTCAAAATGCAATAAACATGATGAATGGATACCAATTAGGTGGTAAGAAACTGAAGGTTCAGCTTAAGAGAGACAACAAACAAAACAAACCTTATTGATTGGGAGGTGAGTCATGGAAGGAAGCAGAAAAAGCCTGTAACATGTGGTCGTATGGAACTTCGATATATTGACTGACTGCAGTATCAGCATTTTGGATGGATTGAGGATATCCTGTGGTTATATGTTTCACTCCATCCTTCTTGTAATTGCTTCATGAGATCAAAATCCCATAAAATTGTAATTCATGGTGCATTCCATGCCTACACGATTTGTATTCTGTGTATCATTGTATTCCATTTAGACACTAATTATTAATTTATTGATTTTTCCTCGAGAATATCTGTTCGTGGTATAATTTTGTGGGGACATCCATGATACAATGTTCCCTAAATATATTGTTTCCACGTTCAATAACTTGTTTTTCTGCAATTTTAATTTTTCCTCATCAAGATACATTCTGGAAGTTTATTCAAATCCTCTGTATTTTCACTAGAGCATTGTACTTCAGCACTTCCCTTCTGTTCCTTGGTGCAATTTATTTTTGCTAATATATTTTTGAAAAGCATCTTCCTATTATCCTATTAAAGAATGGCTGTAGAAGTGAGTGTGTTGATATTCAAGCTACCTGAAGTGATTATCCGTGTTTCTTGTGGAGTGATGCATTCTGACCTATGACGTTCAGGTATTATAAAATCATTTGTGTGATGAGGCACTATTATCTTTGAGGTTTTTGCATGTGATTTCCATTCTGTCCATCTGGCCATATAATCTCTCCATGGCTGTCCCCTGCAGATTTTCATGTAAGTACGTGTTTCCCCTTCCCTGAAATTAGTTTTTACATGTTTTACTTGTAGTTGAAATGTGTAAAATTTTTTAATTTTAAAACTTAACATCCAGTGTGCCTATCTTTACTTTCAGTGGCTTGGTTCAAGATGTTGGAGTTATGTTACCTGGATCTCATGCTCTCCTGTTTCAATTGAGCATTCTTATGCCTGAGAATACCTGCTGTTGCAGGGTAACCGGGACTCAACATCTCAGGTATCGCTTGTTGCTTGTATGTTGAGAATTCTTTGTACTGGGATCAAGAAGCATTACCAACAATTAAGGCACCATCTACTGTCATTTATGAGAATCATCATCGTGACATCACTTGGATTAAAATTCTAAGTACTGTGGTGTAGGGCTTGGGTATCACTAATTCCTGACTCTCTTTTACAAGCCTCACTCAGTTTTCCTAGAATTATTTCTGACATGATGCCTTTTCCCTGCATTTTATATCCCCGTTGATTTTAAGCTTGCTTATTTTTATTAGTTCATAACTGCTTTAAAATGGTATTTTTAATGGGCATCGTGTGGTTTAAGTTTTACTGAATTTGTAATATTGCTGGTTGCTGCAAATATCTAGTTGATATAAAGAACTAATTCTTGGGGGTAGACTATATTGCTGGTAAATATTTTAAAACATCATACCTAGAAAAATAATAGAAGGCTGAATACCTGGAAGAGAAATCTTGCTGTGTGTCTGGGTTCATTTTATATATTTTGCTTTCACCATTTACGTTGACAAAATATTCTACATGACACTATTAGTTTATTTAGAAAGGTTGAATTGGAACTTCAGGGGTTATGTATTTCTGCATTGTATTGCATTTCCTCAATTTCAGAAGCATCAACCAGCTCACCTAAGGATAATGTTCATCTAGTATCATTGAAAGTAGTAAAGTATGTAACTACTGCAAATGCTCATATTTACAGCATTGCTTATGCTAATATAAAATCTTGATTTGTTATGAGGCTAGGATGCTATGTATTCTGTTGATTTTTATGTTGCAAGTTATATGAAGTTGAAATTGCATGGTTAAGGATGACTTGAAAGAAAATGCTTTACTAATTCTTTGTTACTATGAAGTTGAAAAAGCTTTACTCCCCACTAAACTGCAATGGTACTAAAATTTGGAGTACTGTTTTTGTTAATTTTTAGCTTCTAGTGGTTTATCCAACCCTAATTGATATTTAAATTTCATTTATACACTGATAACGATCTATAAAGTATGTTGAAGCTTCCTGCCCCCATTTCTTGACGCCGTGTGCTGTTATGTTTCATTTTCACTTCCTTCCAAGTGTATCTTTTCTTTGTCATGCCACATTGTCAACATTCATGTGTGGGTACTTGGTGCATCCCGCTGTATCATTCTTCTTGTTTGTTCTGTAAACAAGACTGTATATTGTAGACAAAGCCGAGTACTAAAATTTGGATATGATTGGTATAAATCTGTTGGCTGCTTGCTTGGAGTGTGGTAAATCTGTTAGCACTTTTAGTTTGGGTCCTGTGACTGTATCAAGGTTTAGGTTTGTTGCCAAAGGCATTTCGATTCTTTTGAATATGAATAAAAATTTAAATGAAAAATTGGTGGTAGAGCATTCCAACCTAATTTAATTCAGATAAGGAATAGGAATAGTTAGGAGTAGCTTTTGAAGTTTGAGGACTTATTGCAGCTGAAAAAGGAAGTAGAAATCTATTCTGCTGCTATCATGTTATGCTAACGAAGGAAAAAGGCGACTAGGATTGTATTGTTGTCCAGTTGAGCTATAACTCCTGCATCTTCATTTCCATTTCTACGTTTTTGTCGTATATGTAAGCCAGTTTGATTGAGAAGGCTGTCTTGCTTTGTTGGTTTCCAATTTCCACATGCTTTCTTTGCTAAATTTTTTTTATGAATTTATCATTGTGAACTATGTGGTTTATAAGTTTTTGGCAGTCTTTTTCAATTTTTCCACCTTCTTTTATACGCTACAAAGAACGATTTAGACTAAAGCTGTTTAATGTTGTGGGTCATAAGCTGGTCACCATCATTATCAACCTTATCCTTATTTTCCAAAATTCTCATATCTCAATAAAATAAAACAAATAAACAATCTTACAAAAAAATCTTAATTAAATAAATAAAAGAGGTCATGTGAGATTTAGTCCCTGAACAAAATTATTTTTCACAATTTGATACATATAAAATAAATCACATATTTGAATTTTGTTTTCATTAAGTATTTTGCACATATATTATTAATGGTAAGTTGATGTGATCAAAAAACTATTAATAATATCATGACATGTGGGTTTTTTTTTAGTCAATATTTATCGTTAGCATTTTAATTAATGGTTTCAATCAATAATGTAAAATACTTTGATAAAAATAAAATTCAGCTTTTTAATTGTAAATTTTTACATGTATGGAACCGTTAAAAATAATATAATCCATGAATTAAATTACATATTAATCTTAAATAAAAGCTTATGCCTCCTCATGATTCATTTATTAGATGCTTATTTACTATTTAAATGTAAAATATTGGAGCAGATTAATTATTTTGCTTTCTGGAAAAAAGCCAATAAAATTGGTTGTACTTGCACAGTAAAAATAGATAACCAAGTGTTGTTATTTTTTTTTTTTTGGGCCAACTAGTATTGTTTATTGTGTTTTAATTTGGCATGTTTAAACATGAAATGTTTTGACGAAGTAAAAACAAGTACTCATACAGGAAATGGAATTTTAAAAAAGGATCAACAAGCTTCACCTGGTGAATAAATTAACTTCATTAATAAAAAAAGTTAAGCTGAAGGAAGAAAACCAAAAACCCCAAACTTGCTTTGCCAATTAATGAAAACAATCAACAACCTGCCAGTTGTTGAACACGTGGTTGATTGCAATCTTTTTACGTAATAATTTGCAATAATTTTTGAATTAATGGAATCCACGCGATTTTGCCGTATGCATTTAGTAAACATCCCCTCCCATCCTATTTGCGCTCTTTCATTTCATGTTCCGGTGGTTACCACAACAAAATGTCATGTCTACCCCTTTTTTTAAGCTTAGCCATTCAAATAATTTTTTTTAAATTTAAAATTATTAAACTTAATCATTAATTATTTAAATTAAAATTTCTAACTCCGTTGGATGACTATTAACTAGTGATAAAAGACTTTATGGGTTTTTTTTTTTTTTTTTTTTTGCGTAGGTAAAAAATAACGTAGCTAGAAGTTTGCTTTTTGATCTTTTAGAAACCGAAATGCTTTTTGTTGAAAATGGACCCCAAAAAAACCCAATAGTCCCAGTATCTATATTTTACAACATTAATTGCACAGTCACTTTTGTTCAACTGCGTTACAATCATGATTCAAGTCCAGGTTTTTTTCCTTCGTCGGTGTACGCTGCCGCTTCATTTTTCCACTATTGTCAGCACCCTGATGTTTCTTTTTCATTTTAATACTGTAGAATTAAGTCATGAGAGACGTTCAAATACAATAATATAATATGATATAATAATATAATATAAAAATATAATTAAATTTTTATTAAAATTATATATAAATTTAATAAAAATATATTTTATATATCTATATAATTATAATACATAATTTTTATATAATAATATAAATACAAAAATTATCAATAATTTATTCTACATAAATATATTAATTATCATATTAAAAAAAGTCTAAAACAGGTACACGCAATACTCGGGGCGTTGGACACTTTGCTTCTAGAAGCTGTGGTATATATAATTTTTTCTTCTAGAAGGGTGGGTCTAAGCTCTGATCTATCTATATCAACAATAAATCAAGTATTCCTTCTAGAAAAGAAAAGTAGATGTCACTTCCGTTTCAATGTCAAACTTTTTTTCTTCTCAATGGAATAAAATAAAATTTCAATTCAAGCATGCCTACCTCCTAATTTTTCATTGTATCCAATAGAAAAATTCGTGTGTCAAACACGGCATCAGCAGCCAGCAGCCCACCTTTCCTTTTCTTTTTCACTTCCTTTTATATATTACCTCCTTAATATTTTAATTTTGATGAATGGGAAAGAGTTCAAAACAGAGTCAGTCAGTTTTGTTCGTGTTGTTCTCTGGTGTTGACCGAAGATATGGACATGAAAAGTAAAGTTGTTGATGTCTCCTCTTTCTTGCTCTTCGAGGCGACAGGCGATTCGGAAGCTGGGTGTTTTGATCCTGCCATGTCTGTTGTTGACCGTGCTGAAAATGATGATGATGATGATGCAGAGTCGTGTAGCTGTGATACTACATCTGATTTTCTTCATGGTGTTAGACAGGTTAATAGCTTAGAAGACAAAGCGAATGTTGATGATGATGATCATGAAGTTGAGGATGGGGAGGTGGTGGAGCAGCAAAAGGAGGTTCATTTGTATGAAAAATGCAGGGATGATCAGCGTATTAATGTAGGAGGAGTGGCAAAAGGAAAGGAATTATCACATGTTTCTGTTGATTCAACCAAAACCATGAATGAGATGGAAAAGAGCAGGCTATTTTGGGAAGCCTGCCTAGCATCTTAGACTCTGGGTTTAACCAAAACCATAGTCCCACTTCCATATATGAGATGGAAAAGAACAGGCAATTTCTAAACACTTCACCAGTCATCTTTGTTAGTCTCAACGTATCTCAATTTCTCCAGTTCCCCCCTTTTTTTTTAATTTATTTCCCATCTTCTTTTGCTGGTTATTTTTCCACTGTTTATTTATTGTTTAAACGTCAAGAACGTATACAAATGAATAAATCTATTGTTTCTGTAGTTTTGCAGCTTTCTCTTGATAATCTTTGGGGTTTCTTTGTTTTTCTCCAGGACTTAAGATTATAAATTGTGGTTGTGGATTTTCATGCAATCGCTTAATTTCTAGTCCAGACTGCAATGGAGAGGACACTTTTTAAGTGTCACCGATTAATAAGAAGAACGCCACCAATAAACGGAAGAGAAAGGAAAGAGGCAGCCATGAATGCTTTCACATCAAGAATGTAGCAACAAAAATACAGTAATTTTTAGCTCCATATACAGTTTACAGTATTTGGACATATATATACGCTTCAAATTTGCAAAGAATCTTCTGATTCCAGTTGTTCTCGCATGAGTAAAGCTAATCTTACGGATTTGCAACCTGCATGAAATTTTAACCCCCTATATTATTGTAGCTGAAAAATTACTCTCAAAGATGAAAGGTCGGAACCAGCTGAAAAAAAAAAAATCTTTTGTTGTTCTTTTGATTGATGATTTAGCTGGAAAAAAAAAAAAAAAAAAACTAAATTTACAATCGAAAGATTTATTTGCAGATAAAATGGTTTAATACACGCTTTACACTTTCCATTCTTTTTAGTAAGTTTGAGTAAAATTTGACCTTTTAACATTTTATCAGCAGAGGAGACAAATGTAACAAAAAGGAAGTTTCAAGTGAGAAAATAGAAGGTAATCTTTTCCCCCTTCACTGGACAAATAATATAACAACCATGGACATTCAGTAGAATACATTGATAGAGAAGAATCACGAAGAGATTAATCGAAACATAAGATGATAGCGAGTCATTGTAAACTCGGGTTTTCAGAAACTGGATATATAAGACAATCACATAGTCTATATGACTTCAAATGGAACCTTAGCTCCGCAGATCAACCATGTTTAAAAACTACACTTCCCCTATAAAGCTGAATCTAGCTAGCTTCCTAAGTGCATGCGTACTAAACTTTTGCATATCCTAGATGGATATAATGAGAGACTGGACTGACAATTAGTTCCAATCTTTAAACAAGTCGAAGTTAGAATACTTTGAAGACCTGAAGAAAAATACGATACCAAACACTAGTTCAGCCCTTGCTGAACCATGATTCAAACAATCTGCCAGAAGCTAATACTCCCTACCTGAATTTCAACCAAAGCCAACTTTATCAATTTACAGAAGCAACCGTGATTGAAGAGAGGCAAACCAAAAAGTGCAAGTATTATTCTAAATAATGTGAGGATGAAGCATCAAGTCAGCCAGTAGTAGACAGACAGAGACAACGCTCTGGTGTTGTAGACTCCACTAGTTGTCTATCATCTCCACATCATCTGCGTTCTCACATCCTTTTGCTAGGCTCTTCGTACAAAGCCCATGATCCTGAGCCTTAAGACCATCAGTTGCCCCTGAGTCCTCTCCATCACTTGTACTGAAGGCAGAATTCTCGTTCTTGCTATCTGTAAAGGAAACACCAGACTCAACATTGCAGCCTGAGCAACTTCTTGGACTTGCATGATCTCTTTGTAATTCATCAGCTGCTTCCTCCGAAAAACTATTTGTGACATTCTTATTATCATCCAGTTGCCTCAAGAAGCATTCCTCTATTTCACCTAGTGACTCAACTTCATCTTCATCTCCGCTACAGTTACTGTAAAGGGCATTATCATATTCTGATGTGGGCCCTCTCAGTTCACAGCTGGTATCATTCTCTTGCTGACTATCAAACTCCTCATCTGTAGGGCCATCACATGAATGAGATGACACGGGTGAATATCCTCCTGTTGCAGTCTCTTCACGTTTCCTTAGCGTTCTCATGATCAAGGTCTTGAGCAAGTTCATTACTTGAACAGCATGCATCAGAGCTGTCAATGGATCGGACATCTGCATAAGAGAAAATCAAAATAGAATGCTTCATTTTTGGCCAAAAAAAACTCCAATGAGTTAATAACACCTAACACAAGAATTTCATGGTAATTTGTAGTATTTGATTAACAATTTAAGTATCGAGAAAAGTATAATTTTGTTTCTGCAAACTAGAAAATATATTGAGGAAAGTATTGCTACCATACCTGAGTCATATTTGGAGCAAAGACCATAGCTATATTTCTTGCATTCATTTTGTTTGATTCCTCTTCCTCAACAACATCTGCCATAAGATCAACAGCCCAATTGAGCAGTGCAGCTTCAGTTGGCTTTAGCTGCTTCACAAGGTCAACAGATTCTTCTTCGGTATTGCATTGGAGAACCTGTTCGGGGGAAAGTCCATCCAGCACCCCTGAAGGAAGCTCCCGAAACCAGGCTTTTATAAGGCCTGCAAGACAGTGGACGTCAATATTATCAGGCACGACGCCCCTGTTCAGCTGATATCTTACGTGCTCCTCTTGGCTATTTTCAGGATTTATCCGGAAAATCCCTTCTGCCTACAAGATCATTTAGAATAAAACCGTTTAGTGTTGAAATCATAATCAGATAATCCCAAAAATGTGAATATTAGTTGGCATGTATAGACATTAAAACCTTTAGGCCTCCTTGTGAATAAAGTCGCTCCTGCATCAACAAGAGTATAGTGGGGACGCTATTCCCTTTGGAATCGAATGTGCATTGCATTGATTCCGCTGAGACCCCAAACACACTAGCACTGCAAAAAAAAAAGACAAGTGCAATTAAGGACCACGGGTAAAAAACAAAGAAAATGATAAACAGGATATTGTACTAGTTCAACACACAGAAAAGAATCCAAAGACAGTAAACAAATGACTTTACCGAGATAGATTCCAGCTCATTATTAAAGAAATTTCATTGAAAACCCAAATATCTTCGCAAAGAAGGTTGGCTTGCAACTACTATTTTGGAAATAAAACAGTACAGAACATAGTATTATTTACTTTCTTCACCTACATAAAGCAGGGCTAATAATAACATTTATTGCGCTCTTCGGATGTAGCAAAAACCAAATAACCATAAAATCTAAAATAATATTAATAGAGTCTAAAACTCCATGAAATTCACTGAAATTCTCCAAGGAACTCCAATTAAACAGGTAGAGAACTCAAAGTACAATTTTTTTTACTGATGCTGAAAATGGAAAATTTGAAGAAGGTATACCATTTCTAGATTTCAGAGAGCTGTATGGAAGAAAATGGAAAAACTAAGTTTAACATAATATTTAGGAAAATGGAAAAACTAACTTTAACAAAGTATTTAGGTAGTTGATATTTAAATTTTCAAAATGAACTGAGCTTGAAAGTCAAATCTTTTAAAATTTTCTGGAATATCCAAAAGCTTAATTCTTGAAAACCTCTTAAAATTGGGCATATCTAAACCTCTTAAAAATCCTTCATTTCAACTAGAATACAGCTAAACAAATTCCCTTTTGTTTTTTAAATGCAGATATTTCCTTCTCTCACTCTCTTTTTCTCAGTACAGCTAGAAATCTACTTTTTTTTTTCACTCTTCCAGATCTAAACTGCACAAAACACTACATTTCAACTTTAAACAACTAAAAAAAAAAAACAGATAAAATCTTTAAACAAAAAAAACATCTGAAACCAAGCCAGAAGCAAGAAAGGGAATTTACCTAGCACTTGGAACCCGACCGGGGATCTCAACTTGGAACTCCACAGGAAGACCCAAGAACCCATTGAACCGATCAAATGTAACGTGGGTTATGTGTCTTACGTTGGTTGGCCACCCGATTTCCATATGATGAACGGTGGAAGATATTACCTCATCTTGTCTGTCAACACGACAAGACACCATAGATTTCCTCAAAGCAGCTAAAAGCAAAGCCACGACAGAAATCTGGTCCTGCTGCTCTTCATTACAGCTCTTAACTCCTCCTTTAGCTCCTCCCTTTCCACCAACACCGCTACCAGCACCACCACAGCCACCTCCTTTGGTCACCATTACGAGACCAGTCATTTTCTCTATTAGCTATGGTTTTTGTCTCTTCTTCTCTCTCTCTCTCCAAAGTTTCACGGGGTTTTAAATTTTGTGAGTTTTTTGTTGTGTTGCATTCAAGCAAGGGAGTTGGGTTTTTCAAGTTTGAAGAGTTTTTAAGTGTTTCTTTTTACCAACGGCCACTTGTTTTTTCAAATTTTCTCCTTAAAAAAAAAAAACAAAAAAACTTTATCTACAATGAAATTTGTTGTTTGACCTTGAGAATGAAACGATATTACGAAAGTGCCATGTACGCTAAATATACGTAGTTACCGTATTTCTTTTTTTATTTTAGAATACAAATATTAATAGAATATATTTAAAGGAGAATAAATTTAAGTAAAATATATTAATATACAAATATTAATATTTGTAGTTTTTAGAATACAAATATTAATAGAATATATAAATACAATGTTTTATATAGTGTAGGACTAATGCAATCTAATTTAAAGGAGAAGAAAATTTAAGTAAAATATTTTAAAAAATCTTTTTAGGATAATAATTTTTACTATGATATAAATGAATTCTTTAAAACGTTATTCACAAGACATAATAATTAAATCAAATATTTTTTAAATCGAAAAAAAATAAAATAACATTTGAGTTATTATTAAACACATATAAACTAAAATTAGAAAATTGAGAGCGAGAGAGAAAGATTGTATGTTAAAAATTTTTAATTGATCATGAATGAAAGTATTTATTATCTTTAAATAGCATTTGAAGCAACCCTCAAATTAAATTTTCATAAATTTAAAATATTATGCACATTGAACTTTTTTAGATATTATAAATATAAATATATGTGATAAATTTTTAAACTCTAATTCTATTAGTATAATGTAATTTTCATTTACGATGTATGGATACTTTTTCATGATAAGTTTCAACGCACTATTTTTTTTTTTATCTACGAAGAAAAAAAACAAATAGTTGATCGGATTTTAGGGATTTGTCTAACAATTACTATCGCCCATGCACATGCAAATGCTAGAAAAAAAATATATATATATATGTAAATTTCTATTGATATAAAAGTTAACTGAAACTGTTTTCATTTTAAAACATTAAAAATTAGTGGATTTTTTTTTTCATTTTTGCAATGTCCCAACTCTTACTTTATTGTATTATTTACAATTGATTTTTTTTTTTTAATTTCATAATCTATATACTTCCAATTCAACATCAATATTAGAAAATTAAAAAAAATGAACATTTGCTAATTAGAAATTTTGTAAAAAATACGTCATTTATATTGGATACATTTAACAAGTCACACTAGCATGCCATAATACGATTATAATAATTGTTAAGTGGTGTTATCTAAAGTTTATTAAATTTTAAATTTTTAAAAATTTATATTCAAATTAAAGCTCTTCACTTATAATCAATTAATTTTAATTTGATTACTTAAAATGATATAATAATCAAAAATTATTTTTTTATATATTTTATGAATTTGTCATGCAATAATTTCAAATATGTTAAATTATAATTTGTTTATGTTATATTCAAGTTAGACATAATCACTTGTAATAATTAATTTTAAGTTAAGTACTTAATAATAATGATTATATTAACAACAATGATCATGGTCATGACAATAAAATAGTTCAAAACATACGTTATTGTTAGTGCAATATTATTATTGTTTTTGATAAAATAAAAGTGCTACGAAGAAAATAAGTATTGAAATTTTATTGAAAAATTACAATTATACTATGAAAGTGAAACAATTGAATTTCATATAAACTAGTTATCATAATTGCAAATTTTCAATAAAAATTACTATAATAATAATAATGTTATTAAATTTATGTTATTCTTCATTATAATAATGTGCTAATTAGAAAAAAAATTTACTAACCAATATTTTAAAAACATTGTTTAATGTTGTTTAAATGTATTGAAAATCAGCATATATTATAAGATGAAAATATTATATTAAGTAATTTTAAAAAATTATTTAATAAAAGATAAAAACAAACAACAGAAAAGATAATACCCATTTTCCAAGGAAAAACATTTGGTTGGAAAAAGCAACTGGAATTGATAAAAAAGACCGTTGGGGAAAAATGACCCGAAATTGGTCCACAATAAGAGGACGACTTCGATACTATTTCCAATAAGGTTTACTACCTTTTTATGTCATGCCATTGGCTTGATTAAAGGAATTGCTACTTGTGTATTTGCACATTTCCACATCTTGTTTGTCTACAAAATAGAATCGACGGAGGGTCCGGGACTATGGGCTGGCTGGGGACAGTATTTTCTTGGTTTTGATGCTGATTTTGAGAGCTTGTTTTATGATGATGATATCTTGAGAATTACTCCATGTTTTCCATCTTCAAAAAAAAAAAAGACTTTTGCGTTCCATTTGGTGGAATTGGGCCCATTATTATCGCGAAAGAAGACCAACCAAAAAGTTATTAATTGGTTCTGTCTTCACCAAATTAACTTGTGTTAGCGTTTCACCCAATTCCCCTTTCGGATTCAGGCCCCATTACGACTAACAAACACCATCATTTTCCTCTTTCAAAAGCAATCATAATAATAATGAATCAATATGGATAAAGGTCACTTTGGTCATTGTATTGAGACAATTGAATAACGGGGAGAGCCACGTGAGAAAATCGAGACAAGGAGCGACCCTAATTAGATCTCAGTGGACCTATGTCCGCCTAGTTCGGTCTACTGAAAAGCAAATAAAAATATATAAAAAGAAAAGCATTTTTTTCTTCTTTTTCACTTCGGTGATATGGAAGAGAAGAAATGGAAAATTATTTCGCGGAGCAGAGGAAGGAGACAGGGAATTTGACATGGATCACGACATGTGGGACCGTCTCAAGACCTCCAACGAGCATTTGATTCTCCCTCCAAATTCCCACCATTCGAATTTCAAATCTCAGTTTCATTCTCGTTCTTCCTCTAGTACTTACAACTCCTAATCAGTAGCTTTTTGTTTATTTATTTATTCCTCTCTTTCATTTTTTCGTTGCTATAACTTTTTTTTTTTTTCCTTTTTGTTATAATGTACTTTCGTTGTGCTCTGCCATTGCAGAATGATTACCGGTTCTAAACATTTTTATTTTTATAGCTGTTGATAATAAATATTAATTTGGACATGCATGTTCTGATTTTTGAAAACTAGTGAGAATTTCCAACCCACCCGGCCCAGCTCTATTGATTGGAGAAATATTGGCATGGATCCACCAAAGTCGTTGGAGTTTTACAGTTCCATAACCCAACCAAAGATATAAGAAACAAATGTGTGAACTTCTACAGCACAAAAGTACAATTCGAAGAAGCCAAAGTTTGGGTAATCATAAGAAAATAATCGAGAGGATAGTTTTTTTTTTTTTTTCATACTTAAAAAAATGTTTAAAATTTCTTTTATAAAGATATATCAGATTTTTTAAATTTAAAATTATTTATAAAAAAATACATTTAAAATTTTACTTAAATATCTAAAACTTTCAAAATTTAACAAATTCATATCACTTATGAATTTTAAATTTTAAAAAGATGAATATCACTTATTATATTTTTTCAATTCAAAATATATTTATCAATTTTTGTTCACAATATCTTATTTCTGGGTGTGTTCTAAGATTTGCAACATTGTCCAATTATTTTGGAATCAAAAACTTATCCTTTTTTTGTGATTTTTGAAAATTTTGGGAGAAAAATTAACTTTATCCCATATTTAACCCCAATAATGATATTTTTTTATTTATTTTATTTTTAAAAATCAACGTAATTATATAATAAATAAAAACTCATTATGACATAAAAATAGGCATTCATGGCTACATGATTGGACAAATGTGCAATCCTAATCATACAACTGGATACTAGACACACAATTAGATACATAATATATTATATAAACTAAAAATAATTTGTTTAAATAAACAAACATAGTAAATAATTGAAACTTTAGGTTTTTAAACTTATTTAATTTTAAAAAATATTTTTTAAAAATAATAAAAAAATAAAATAAATATTTTCATATGATCGACGTTTTCTACGTTGAAAATATAATAATTAATATAATATTATAATATAATATTTATGATACTTTTAAATATATTTTTTATGTAAAAAATGTAATATTTGTTAATTATATGGTTTTATACATATCAATAATTATGTTTCTTTTTATAAAAACGTACTCATTGCTATTAGGTTGTATACATTACGTTTTTCTTTAGTGTTTTAATTACTTTTTTTATGTTAAAAATATAATGTTTAGTATCGTTAATTACGTTTATGAGATCAAAACTATAATATTTGACAAATAATAAAGATCGCATTTCTTAATATGGTATAGATGACGACCAGCATTTAGAAATTACAAGTTAATTGAAATTTAATGATGCTTAAGAGGAACTGCAACTTCAAATAAGCTGCTTTTACATTAATCTCCTCTTAGCTATGAGAAAATTATCTTGACCAAGTTAATAAAAAACCTGTAATTTTTTTTTCTACAAAAGATTTTGATAAAGCAAAGTGCTCCATTACAAGACCTAGACTAATAAATGAAATGATACCTTTTCATTTCTTATCCACAGTCATAGATAACCTATATACTGTTTTTGAAATCAAGAAACGTCATCTTTAATTAAACAGCTACATTTAGTAAAGAAACGTAGTGTTTGATTGTTTTTCAAATATTATGCTTATTGTCACATAAATATAGTGTTTGTTATAACCACTGCACTTATATAAGAAAAACGTAGTATTTGACTTATTATATAATAAAAACATAGTTTTTAACTTTATATTTTTTGATCAAAAATTATGTTATATTTTAAAAAATCAATAATCTTTGATGTTATTATATATATTTTTTGTTTATAATATATCACATTAATTTTAACATTATAAAAATAATTTTTGTTCACATGTTTAATTTTAATAACATAATTGGTAGTTGAAATGTTGGTTACATATTATTCACATATAATAAATGTCATTATAGTAAAAAATATTTATTACGTATTATAACTTTTCTTTAAATCGAATATAAGAATCTAACATTTCAATAACATGAATCCCTTA